TACGGGTTTGGAACAACATGAGGGAGAGTAATTAATAACAATTTTCAATTTTGGGTGAAATATCCCCCTAATAAGCAATGTGCAATGTCATTACCCAACTGCATGTCATATAGCCAACCCTTACCCAAAATACTCCAGCGACTTCCGCAGCGCATGCTAATTCATTTCTTTTTACTTACTTCAATCTACGTCATTAAAGGAGTAGTTCACTTTAAAAAAAACTTTTGCTGATAATTTACTCACCCCCATGTCATCCAAGATGTCCATGTCTTTCTTTCTTCAGTCGAAAAGAAATTAAGGTTTTTGATGAAAACATTCCAGCATTTTTCTCCATATAATGGACTTCATTGGGAACCAAACGGTTCAGGGTGAAAATGAGAGTTTCAGTGCAGCTTCAAAGGGCTTTAAACGACACCAGACGATGAATAAGGGTCTTATCTAGGACCCTTTGAGTCATGACTCGAAAAATTTGTTCATTTTGATGAACGAGTTCGAACAGGAGAGTCATGAACGCTCATCACAGAACAGAGCAAGGCGAGCAGTTGTGCTTATAAAACTTAAACTTTTTTATTTATTTTTTTAAATGAGCGATCGTTTCGCTTGATAAGACCCTTATTCATCCTCTGGAATCGTTTAAACCTCTTTGAACAGTTTGCACTGAAACTGTCTTTTGGACCTTGAACCGCTTGGTTCCCAATGAAATCCATTATATGGATAAAATCCTGGATTGTTTTCATCAAAAACTTTAATTTCTTTTCGACTAAAGAAAGAACGACGTGGACATCTTGTATGACATGGGGGTGAGTAGATTATCAGCAAAAGTTTTTTTTTTTAAAGTGAACTACCCCTTTAAAACCATCTGCAGGCATATTCCTGTTAAACAACTCTTTTGGAGTCATAAAATGATTGAGTTTGTGGTTTTTCTGTTAAAAGTTATGAAATAATGATTGCTGGCCGAGGGACGTAACGGAAGAGAACATGGAGGGCAAGGCGAGTCAGTGAGTCGCATCCAAAAGGCAGCAGATTGTTCATATTAAATCTTGTCGGTGATGGTGGCTCTGGGTGCCATGAGGTAATCCTTTCTGGTAATAACAAGAGTTCCGAAGGTTGGGAAGTTGGAAATAATAAATAGAGAGAGGGAAAACAAGGCACATTTCCATACTGACACTCAAAAGCAGTTGGGTCTGTTAGAGCTTGCCAACAACAACAGATGAGTCCAAGCTAACTCTAGAAGTCCAGCAACACAGATTAAAAATAAGCGACAATTCTTTCTGTGGTTACAGTTAAACTAATAAAAGCTAACTGTCAGAAAGTCATATTGCAAAAAGGCCTTCGGCTTATAATCACGCTTCTTGCTTGTCAAAAGAATCTATTAAAAGATTTAACACAAGGCCTATTTTACACTGTTCAATGAAAAGTTACGAAGCATAACAGCGTGACTGTGTCCTAGTTACAATGTCTTTGCTCCATGCTCTACTGCTCCAATTATTATTGCTAATGGGATGGGCGTACTTTGATCATTGGCTCTTGTGATCAAAAACAACACACTAGAGCTGCCATAGTGGGTCAGGATGACAAAATAAACCGGCTTAAGAACTTTTAAAAGGGGAGGAGAAACATTTTCCATGTGTTTTGTTGTTGACATCAAAGGCCGTGCGCATTTGCCACTGGTAGAAGCGTGACATCCACGAACAAAACTACACGAGGTGAACAAAAACGTGATCCAAACTGCATTCAAGTCACTTGCAAAGTGCACTGTATGGTGAAGAGCAGGTATAGTAATGTGATTACAATTCAAGAGATGTTTCGAAGTCAGTATGATATTTTAAAAGGAAATTAACACTTTCATTCTAAAAGGATGCATACAGATGTGACGCAATGACTCAATATAGCCTACTAGCTGAGACTCTTCTTATGTGCCAATATAGATATATATTTTTTATTAAGGAGATTTTTGCTTAGATCATTCTGGTGTTGATTTGACACTCGATGTTCACTTTAAAATCAAGAAATTAAAAAATAATAAATGAACAACAACAAATTGCCTCATGATGCACAACCAGCAATCAGCTATAAAACAATGTTTACTTTTTGAATAAGGGTTTTTTGGGTTTCATGCATTGCAAACATAATAGCGTGCTTTTGTATCGACGAGAATCTGAATTGCTTGTATTTAGACTGCAATCATTGTAAATAAAGTCAAACAATAGTGCTCAATTTGGACATGGATGAAAGGATCAAATCAACTAGACTTGACATGCACAGTCCACTGGGGTGAAGTGGTCCAAATTTGGCGGTAAGTTTTGCAATCATGCATCTGCAGGAGAACACGTTCCTGGCTGGCAAACGATAATTAAAAAAAGACGTACAACAACACAATGCCAAAGTTAAATGTTTTCCTTTGGCAAATTGATGCATCCAAACCTCAGAATCTTTGTGGGTTTGTCATAATAATTCCCTTGTAAGGAAACAATGTGAACCAACTTCTTAAACAGATGATGAAATCCAGCCCTTCAACGCAAAAATGACAAAAGTACAAAGACAACATTCCATACTTAACAGCAGCCAAAAAAAATCCCCTCGGTCGGCCAGACAACTGACGTTGCTTTAGATGTAGCAGAGATGCTTAAAAAAAAGCGTTATTGTATCTCATTACAAAAGTATTCTTTACACATGGTAAGCATTTGCACTATTTATAAGAGTCATTATTTGATGGTATTCCTTCCAAACCATCATGAAACTGATTTCATCCCACAAAATGATACTACCTCTTGAGACCGAGCTGGTACAAGCAAGTTGCTTTACAAAAGTCTTCCAGAGTACAATAACAGCCTCACATACGCACAATTCATTAATACTCCATCATCTAAAATGGGAAATTCACATTGCTGTAAGTGTTACGTCAGGGCCATATATGCCCTTTTATATTCTCGACTGAACAGACCTCCACTCACAAACTCCATAAACATCCATTACAATGCTGTACAGTTGAGAATATGAGCTGCAGCTGTCTAATAAAATCAGCAAGACCATCTGGCTAAACCACTGACAAAAGGAAATATTAAAAGACATTACATATCTATACAGTCTCTTCTGCAGTTTTTAAAGTGTAAGTGTGAGGTCCTGTATTGGCTCAAATAAATCCGTATGAAAACCAGGGCAAATGTGTTAAGATTGACCTCATTCCTAGACTTTACATTTCCCGATTTTTCCCGATACTTGTTGTTTACGTTCAGCCATAACCAACTGTGTTCATGTGAACTTTGTGTGATTTTGACATAACCTTGTGTATTTGACAGTTAAAGCACAATTAGACGTGATAGAGAACTTACGTTTACAGGACGTGCCGTCTGACATGACATCCAGCTATCTGTGTGACTCAGAATTCATGATGATGAAGAACTGCTCTGTCACATGAGCGTGACCGTGATAAAGATGATAACAACAGATGATATTCAAGGCCTAACAGATGTTTTTAGTTTTGGAAAAGTATCGGAGGCACCAGCTGTAAAGGCTCCGCCCTCTTCTGGAAAGCAGGATGGGCAGCCGTAGCTCATTTGCATTTAAAGATACATGCACAAAACAGCATGTTTTTCCTTCCACTAAAAATGGGCATTTACAACATGCTATAATAAATTATCTGTATTTTGAGCTTAAACTTCACAGACACATTCTGGGGACACCTGAGACGTATATTGCATTTGTAAAAAGGGGCATAATTGGTCACCTTTAAAGCTAATAATAAAAAGTTGAAATACAATCTTGCAATTTCAACATGTTTTGGCTAAATAACTCAATTTAGTTAAAAACTCCTTTAAAAAAAGTAAACTTTGCAAACTGAAAACAGCATTTAATGTATAGCAAAATGTGGTTTACTTGCAACAAATTTACAAAAAAAGAACGTAATACTTTAACTTAATACTTAAAAAAAGCTAGTTATGTATGTAATGCAATTGTTTGTTATGTCTCTAATTATTTATGACTGCAGACCAACATCTGCTCTGTATTTTTTTACCCAAATTTATATATAAAAAAGGGGCATTGCATTATAAAGTTTTTTATAGCAAACACCAAATCAAGGTTCACATTCCTGCAAGGAAATCCAAAAAAGGTATAGCTGGAACAGACTTCCTAACTTTTTTTTAAATACATTATTTTTTGCAAGTTATGTATACATATGCAGATGTCCTGTCATTTTGTAACTTGAACATGTTGTAGATCTATTTGTGAGTGAGATAACTTTAAGTTAAAGGGATAGTTCACTTTGAAATGAATTTGTGATGTTTTAGCTTACCTCAAGGGCATCCAAGATGTCTTTGTTTCCACAGCATTTTCAATTTTGACATTTTTTGGTCAAACCGGTGTTGTCTGTCAGTCATATAATGCAGTTTCAGGGGGTCCACCTCAAAGAGCATGCACAGAGAAGTCAAAATTAAACATGATTTAATGACTCGTAAATGTAAGTACACATTGATGGCCTAAGACACGAGCGGTTTGTGTGAGAAAACGAACAGTATTTTTTACCTCTTGTTAACAGCCGTCGAACTGACCTGAATCAGACGTCCAACTGAACCGAACCGAACTGAACTGAACCGTGTCCAGACGTTACGCCGGAAGTGATCTCTCGCGCGTCTATGTCACGCATTGTCTATGTTGTTTACACGGAGATTTCGGAAGTTTTACCTGGCTTTCACTAGACATATTTAGATATATCGAACTGCGATTTCCCGTGTATCTAAATATGTTTAGTGAAAGGTTTGAGAAAGTGAAAATTAATAGTGTGCGATTTCAGTCATATGAAAAGTCACTTACAAGGCAGTTGACATAGAAATATCCCAAAAATTCAATCAGGAAATCCAACGATCCATCATTTTGTTGTAAACTATCAAAAGATTAACGAGCATTAAAATGTATATCTGGCACACAATTCACAATACACTGAAAATGCATAAATAAGACAATGGAAACAGGACAAAAGAACAAACAACAGAAAGTTTTGGTCTGGGGCTTTATTGATTTAATTTATTAAGATGCTACATAGTCCAACAAAGTTGGGGTTTCTTTATATACCATTATAGACTACTTGACTAAGAATATCAACCTTATTTTTCATCTTAGACTCATTATTTATTTATTTATATACATACAAAACGGTCACCTTCATGTGTACATCGTATGTGAAGGTTTGGGGCACAATAATAAGGTTTTCCTTGAATTATGAGCCAGCTGATTTGGCTGATAGGCCCCCAAATCCCTCCCTCTCCATGGCAATCATACTCCTTGGTGAACTATACATAAACTGCAGTCCCAAAATCCCTATACCCTGAATGTCTCCTCAAGTTACTCCCAAAGCAAAGTTTTACCGTTTGTCAATATCGTAAGCTCCTCTGTTCTTAGAAATCCAATATTTAGCAATAAGATGATTAACTGAAACAAAAGCGTCTCAAGGAGGGGGGTAGAAGAGAAACATTAAAGAAAAAGACACCCCCACAACACCAAACTATGACACAAATACACATCAGGTCACAAAATGGTCCCCTGTTGGAAGAGTCTCTTTTCGGGTGTCATTTCACAAAGACCAGACCGTTGTGCATGGGAAGATGACATTCTTTATATGTAGTGCATTTTTAATATAAACAGTTCTGTGCAATAAAAGCTTTATTCATAACTTAAATCCAAACAAACGACTAAATTAACATCAGAGGACAGCAAAGAAACAGAGGGCTCAGGAAAACAGTGCAGAAATGTCAGGAGTGTTTTTTTTAAAGCCTTATGCTGCGAGATAAACCAGTGTTGTGTACATTTCAGACCACCGACAAGGCATATCGAAGCCATGCATTTATCTGGAAATGAGGTGTAGGCTTGGCATGGCTAAAATACAGGATACAATACTCACACGTGTCCGTTTTTAAAAGAATAGTTGCCCTCAAGAAAAAACATTTCATCTCTGTTTACTCCCTCATCATGTTGTTACGACCTCATATTAATCACTTTCTCCAAAATTAGATGCTATGCAGATTGTCCGAGCTGCTCTTTCCCATAAACGTTGATGGGGATTGATCCTCAAAAGATCCAAAAAGGACAAAAATCATTGTGTACCATGTTCTAAAGCCATGCAATAGCTTTGTGTGAACGCTAAAATCATCATGCAAAACCTGAAGCATATCGACTTAATTCAGTCCATCTCTAACACAAATCTATTCGTATGGCTTCAGAATTAGGGTTAAAGATCTTTGGACTAGCTTTATGATAGTTTCATGACTATTTTTGTCCTTTTTCACAGCAACATACTGTAAATCATGTATGGAAAAGAGCAGCTCTTCCCAACATCTTGTTTCTCACAAGCAAAACATTTGGGGTTGGAACAACGTGAAGATGAGTAAATGATTATAAAATGTTAAATCCTGGGTTTACTATTCTTTTTTTGTTCTTTTTTGAAGGGGTAAAGTGAGAGGGGGGTCAGTGTTAATGGACCTGATGGTGAACTCTCCTCATGGCATCTTAAGATAGAAAGTTCATAGGGAGAGAGACCTTCAACCATTTGCTTGTAGATGGTGCATCAGATATTACGCTTAGCAGCTGCACTATTATTGTATATAATAATGACTTGATCAATAAATTAACTCGGGTCGACAGGCAGCGAAATGGAAACAGAGGTGTGCTAAAAGGGCCTGAAAAGGAGATTTCACCTATGGAGCAGCTTAATAAAATATAAAGTATTTTTTGCTCTAAACAGAGCCATGCATTCAAGCACATATCCCTTACCAAAAGAAAACAATAATAAAGAATTCTGTTCCTGACAGGGAAATCGGTTTGTGCAAAGCATCATCGGAAGCGTTGGTTTCAGAGACATCGCCTCACCGACATGGAGAAATATTGTTTCAAATGGTTTTTGGAGCAAATGACTAGGTGAACGGCCAAAGGGTTTCACCAACACTTCCCCAGTAACAGCCGTTTGAAATATCAGTCACTAACAGTCCATTTCTTTGCTGTTGATTTAAGACGTCTGAAAACCAAACGAAACAAAACCTAATAGTCAAACCGCATTGCCAAAGCCACTTAAAAGCCAGACTTCGTGGTGGTTTTGTCTCGAAAACCTGGATTGGCGTGTGTTTTGCAAGTGAACATTAAATTGGCATGAAGCAGTGATGGTCTTTTAACTAAAAAATTTGGGTAATTAGTGACGACATCATATATTCTTGTTGAATAATCTGATTTGTTGAGGAAATATATGTTGAATCATAGCACTTGTTGGTACTCAAACATATCTTCGGGACTGAACGGAAGTGGATGGAGGATGTAAAACACGTTATTTCAACAACAGTGTGACTGGGGAAGATACTAGAAGGCTTTTTTTTTAATCAATTACCCGGAGAGTGATTGCAAATATACTTCAGTGAACTGCTGCTTTAATGCCGGATGTTTGTGTATGTACAAATTAATGCCATATGACACTTTTCAAAGATGTTTAGCATTTGTATACAGATAAAATTTGCTTCTGACCCATTGAAAAAAAAAAAGTGATAAACAACATTCACTCTAGCACAACGCAGTCGCACATCTGGTGTTAGAAAATCCCTACAACATTTTAGTGGTTAAAATCTATGATATTTTTGAACTTGCATCAGCAATAATTAAGGAAGAGGGGCCAGGATGATTTCACAATTTTGAGGCAAGAGCTGTGTCAGATTACTATTATTAACTTTTTTTTTTCTGAATTTATTTCTTTGCACATAACATGATGAAATATCTTGATCTCTTTATTAATTTTACACACCTCGCTAATCCAAAACTACCCCAATGATATGGCATTCGGATTAAACGAATTCTGCATTGGTTACTTGTCTGTTTTGTTTTTGTTTCATCCGCAATGCATGCTTGTAACACTCTCCTCTTGGATTTTACAAGGCCAACTTGCCGATGATGACACCCACAACAAAAAACAGCACAATTAGAGCGATCACCCTGGTGCTCAGCCCCTCCTCCTTCACTCTCATCGCTGAAGAGGAGTGCGGAGCGGATATTACTGTGCTCTTCCTCATCCGCAGACCATCATCTTCCTGCTGGGGAAGTGGAAGAGATAAAGATAAAGACAGTTAGATGACAGAAATAATCTTGAGAGTTATGAAAAGCGCTTATGGCCCAGCACGCGTCTCATTAAACAAGCAGCAGTACTGGTCCCCAGCTGCAACTGATGCGCAAGGCCAGGTTATCTTCAATTCCGACTCTTGATATGCTCAACATCCTGTGGCTGTAACAAATCTGAACAATATGGTGGTGGAAGATAGCTAAAGTAATGCGGTGGTCAATCAGTATGGCTCAAAGATGGACATCGATAGCGAGAGGGTGATGGATATAAATCGTTAAAGTGAGTGGACATGTAAAGTGGCTAACATTAGGCTACTACTAACATGGTTTAAAGGTCGATGATTTAGATGATTTCAAAAGGATCATGTGACACTGAATACTGGAGAAATGATGCTGAAAATTCAGCTTGGTCATGAGAGGAATAAAATTATATATTTAAAAATATTATTAATATAAATAGAAACAGTTGTTATAATATATGTTTTCATTGTTTTTTGATCAAATAAATGCAGCCTCGTGAGCCTTTCAAAAATCATTCCGATCCCAAAATTCTGAACGGTATTGTATATAATGTATTTTTAATGCATAATTTTGTATATTTGAATTCTGAGTTTAAAAGAAAATAGCAAAAAAAGTAAAAATATGTATGACTTGCTGACAATGATATTTATGAGAATGCAAATAGCAAACACTCACCCTGATCTGTTTGTTCTCCTCTCGTAGCCGCTGCACCTCCGTCTGCAGTCTTTTACATTCCTCCATGATCTTCTTGACCTCTCCATCATCCAGACTGGAGGCCATGGACTTCATAGACAATGTGGATGATTCCGACTTTGAGAGACTGGTGGATATCTTATTGCTTTCCATTTCATGCTGTGGCCAAAATCAGGTTCACACACACAGACAAAATGGACACAATCAGCAAATGCATCCATAAAAGAGCCAAGAATCTGTTACGCTTAATAATTTTAGGAGAGGGTAACATGAATGTAGTCATCCCTACTGCCATTTCACACACTGCTGACAGCTCAGAGCTAGCATGAGGAAAAACATGAAAACCCATCCACTCACTGTTTTCTCATTTTCAACGGGCATATCAAAGACACATCTCAGCTTGGAGTCCATCAGATCCTCGGGCTTGGCGTCCTTCCACTGAAGGAGAGAACAACAACATGTGTAAGCAAGAGCCATTTGATTATACACCAAATAAACACCTCATGAGCCGTTTACAAACCCTAGCGACCTGCTTACATACGCAACATTTTTAGGCATCATAGGAAGATTTCCCGAGACAAACGTAGATGATAAAAAGTATTGCTAGAAAATCTCTGAACAAATCAAAATGCACAATTTACTCAAATCTGTGTGCTTTGTATTTCTCTTGCATTGATTCATTAGCCTAACCACATGCCACCTGAGCCAATTGTGGAAGTTATGCATTAATAAGTTGCCCATGAAGAGAGTTTCAAAGGAGTCATCTGCGAGGTCTCGGATCTTAAAAAGGTATCTGGCTATGAAGACAGCAGACAGTGAGGCAGCTCCCTCGGTTTTGGAGTTAGGCTTTGAAGCCATCAACAAGGAATAGTGGAAATAGTTCAGGACAGTGAATTAGTAGCCAGATCTCTGCTCTATATTTTCTTTCCGCTTCTCCTTCCTGACATTTTCATAACCTATTTACCATTACATCTGCTCATGCACACAGATGTTCAGTATGATCTATTTCAGAAAGCTCATGAACAACTAAGAGATTTGGATTACTTAAACAGCAAATTCACACCCCTTTGTATCATATATTGTTGATCTATGCTCGGGGTTATCACAATATTACTGCTTAATGGCATTGTAGCACACTTTTGATTAGGTCTGTATATTGAAAAACTTCAAAAATAATGCAAAAGACTGTTTTGTTTTTGTTGTTTTTGTCTACTATTTTTTTTTATTGAAATAAAGCTGAAATAAAATAAAATTATCAGATGAAAAACAAAAAATGCTGCCTTGGCAACTAACTGAAATAAAATAATTTAAGTTTAAGTTCTCATTATCAAAACTAAAATGAAAATATACATTTTGGACCCAACATATAAGACATCAAGAATGGTTTAATAAAGTAAAGGGAGTATAAACCTTTGGAAAGCAGGTGGCATGGACCAGTACTCACCACTCCCTCAGTGTCAGTCATGTCAGGTGGGGCCAGCAGAGACTGTACCATGAACTTGTGTTTGCTTTTCTCATTCGGATCATAATCGAACGGTTGCAGCATCACTGTAAGACAAACACAAGAGCATAAATACAGTACACCTTAACAATATCTTCAGCGTTTTCCTCGTTTTAGTGGGCAGGATACTACTCATAAGAGGACAGGCAATGTTGGGAGGGAAGAAAAAGGAACCTGATCTGAGCCAGATTTGAACCTGAGATGCCTACTTGAGCACCAAATGCCAGGCCACAATGGCTCCAACATCATTTCTAGACTTTTTAAGGAATAACAAAAAACAAAAACTATACAATATTAAAATTTCCAGCAGATAGGTTTCTCAACAGTCCAAGGGCCAGATTTACTAACAGCTTCCGCCAATGCAAACCCTATTTTGGCGTTAAAAATATACTACTTTAATTTCCTAAAAGAAACGCAGTGGAAAGATTAGCGGTGAAACGGGGTGGACAGTCATTTTTGCGGCTGACCTAGGAATTTTCTTTTCAGATGTAGAGAGTATCTAAATGAATCATGCAATGTTTGCGCTAGTCAGTTTACTGTTTTATCGTGACATTGTTTACCGCCATAAAAGCATGTCTTAAACCAGCAGCTAATCTGCGATGGTCATTATGGAAATGATCCGGTTGCGTCTGTGTTCTTTACTTTTGCAAATCTTCAGTAGATCACGTGCAGAAATTTCCACTCCCAGATGAGTTTTTTTTTTTTTTTTTGCGCTCTGGCTTTAGTAAAAAATGTGATAAAACATTTGGGTGTAAAACATCCATGTTTCACAAAATGACATTACTCAGAAAAACAAAAAGACTTAGCTATTCATTTCGTATAATCCCACTACAAACGTTGCTGATAAAACTTCAGTGACCCAGAAGGGCAATTTTTCTTACAGCTCCTAAACAGTGTTTTTCACGTTAATAATAACACATTCAGCCTTTAACTCAAACCAGGTGTTAGTGTGAGGAAGTTCACGTCTACAACCCCATCAGCACCATCCAAAGAAGGCCATGTTATTTGATGTCATTCCAACGAGCAAAAGCTAATTTAGAGCTGTTACCATGATTTACAATGATCACTTTCTTATGCTTGGCGTGCGAAGGCTCTGGCACGGTTGAAATCAGTATTGAAAGCCTATTTCACCCCCATCACCCTTTTTAAAAGACACCGTTCTGATTCAAAAGTGTCTTTTTTTTACATTGGAGTGAATGTGTGCATGATTTAGGAAAACTGCTGCTAAGTTTCATTAAAAACAAATGATCTCTTAATTTTAAAGGCCCTCTTAGATGTGGCTACTACTGCCGAGCTCACAGAAGGTGCACGCCAACTCCCCCGCGAGTTAAAAAACCTCACTTTGGTTTTGCGTGCCACTATGGCAATCAAGCTCCGTCGATATTGCAAACTGAAAACAGACGGCTGAGACAGATTGGGAATGTCCTGTTTTGTCAGTCCCAATCTTTCCGACTGCACTAGACCGGTATTTCACTAGCAGCATCAAGGGGGTATTTTTAAACGCCTCAACAGAGGAAGAGGGATTAAATGAGTCTTGACATGACTTTATTTGTACAGTTCACATTAGTAATATTACTAAAAGAAATGTGTACTGTGCAAATATTCCGATTTCGCACCCATAGCTGTTGCTATCCTTGACGCAAGATGTGGAGGAAGTCAAAGTATCAGTTCAAGTTCACACCATTCAGCTTTCCCATCACAGGAATAAATAGCATTTTAAAATATATTACAATAGATATCATTTATTGTTCATTTAAATAACACTTTACGATAAAGGCCTCATTTATTAACATTAGTTAATGCATTACTTAATGATGAGCAATATATTTTTATGGCATTTATAAACCTTTGTTCATGTTAGATAACAGTGCATGTTGAGATTAACATTAACTTAGATTAACGAATGCTGTTCATTCATGTTAACTAATATAGTTAACCAATGTTAAACAAAACCTTATTGAAAAATGTTACCATAATATTTCACAATACTACTGTATTTTTGATCAAATAAATGCAGCCTTGGTGAGCATAAGAGACTTTAAATGTTTTAATGGTAGTGCATATATCAATTGTCACAGTAATGAAAACAGAAATAGATGCTACCACCCACGGTGTATGACGTTATATATATATTGCATCACAAATTAAAAAAAACAACAACTTTTTAGACCGAGGGCGAGTTTACACGACAACGATGTACTGAAAACGGAAAGGTTTTTGCTTTGCTTTTTTGAAAATGTTAGCATACAGACGACAACACTGTCAAACGATCCTCGTTCACTCGAATCTACGAAAATTAATATAAATGCTGTAGTATGCTGCCAGGCCACTAGTTGGCGATGTTATGTTGTGTAAATGAATGGCCAAAATGCATAAAAGTTTGTGGTAAACACAGTGTTGCAAATGTGAATTAAAAAAATGTTGATGTTCAAACTGCAATCAGATAAACAGATGCGAGTTGAATGTGCTAAAAATATATTTATTTTGAGAAACAAAACCAGAGACTTTATAGTCTAAGTATTAAGTGTTATTGTCTTGAACACTTAAATGGGCGGCTCCATGCTGACTGTGATTGACAGTTCGTTCTGCCAGATCACTACTGACACAATCCAACAAGATCAAGGCAGTGATTTAATAATCATTAAAACACAACAGCATGATTTCTTTAACAAAGAACATCTTTATGTGATGCTTAAATTTGCATAACCAACCTAAGACGGTTGGAAATTTAATAGTGAAAAAGAATTGGCCTGATAATGTTACAAAATATTAATTTACACTCTCAGGCATGCATAGTTTTGATCAGATGTCTCTAATGTGCAATGTAGAAAAACGAGGATTGTTCATGTACAGAAAGGTCTTTCTGGATCTCCTTTTTTGGTTTTGACACTCTCAATCTTTTACACAAATTTTATGAGCTGTCTGCACATACTGTTCTTTCTTGTATTCTTCAAAGAACTATTTCTAATCACACAGAGCTTGTATGTTCACACTTAAGTGCCAACTAGCCTCTCCATATGGAGGATACCTATTCCACTCTACAGATAAAGCGTTGCGGAAATTAGGGTTCACGTACCAACCCAGAAGTGATAAAATAAAATTCGGTATCACAATTTATAGGCAAGACGAGTAGTTTTTTAGGAATGGTTTGAGGGAATTATGGCGCTTTTCCACTGCATAGTACGGTACAGTTCGGCTCAGTACGCTTCGACTCGGCGCGGAACAGTTCGGATCGCTTTTCGTTTCCACTGCAGTAGTACCCCTTCAAAGTGTGTGGGACTGATCGTTATTTGCGCGAGCCTCTACTGCCATGACATCATCTTAAAAGCGCCACATTTTCAAACCCACAACACAGGAACAATGGAGACTATCGAGGGGATGGTGTTCCTGATTCTCGGTATGTGGTTGTTTTTAACTGCTAGACGGAAAAATGTGTTTAAAATGAGGCTGATGGCAGCAAAACAAAAATACTGCTAAAAAAAGTGTCTCGTGTCGCAAATCCAATGACGCTAGTAGTGACGCTGGTAGTGACGATTCTGTCTGACCAATCAGTGATCTGCAGTGTTTCACGTCACATTTTAGTACCGGTACGGTACGCTTGGAACCTCAACAGACCAGGTACCATTTAAAGCGGCCTGAAGCGAACCGTACTGTACCGTACCATGCAGTGGAAAAGCACCACAAGTGAGCCGTACCGAACCGAACCGTACCGTACTATGCAGTGGAAAAGCGCCTTTACAAACCTGCACACATATATGCAAACGCACATAACTATAGAATCAGTTCTTCTATAGAGGCAGTTCAGCCTTTATCACAGGTTCATATTTAAAGTCATGTTTAAAGTAATGTTCATGTTTAGAGAGAACGGTGACATCTTAGCGGCCCCTAATTTAATAACAAATGATCATTTCACGGGAAGTGAATCAATCAAAACCAAATTTAGCAGGAAAATAACATTATTTAAGAACTGCTATAAAACCAAACCAATCTCTGTTTCTTTAAATTATATTAAGTTGATCTCTGTAAAGCTGCTTTGAAACAATGTACATAGTTAAAAGCGCTATATAAATGGGTATGACTTGACTTGAGTGGTCATCTTCAGGGCTGTGGCCTGTCTGGGGGCGGGACCACTGCAGAAAACTGTCACCCTGGGCCATGTGCATTCAATGAAAACACCTGACTGCTGAAAATCATTCATCTTCCTAATTAACTGGATCCCTGGAGATAAAAAGCAGAGCAACTCCATTAATTATGAAACATGACCTCGGAATCCCATCAGCAAAAACCATGAAGTCTAAATGGAGAGAGGGAGAAAATGTGAGGAAATCCAGACAACACTAATGGTTTAAAGAGGCATACTTAACTTACTAAGTTCCAAAGCAAAGGTTCTGAGTCATGACAGGCTATTAATAAGTATAATCAACAAGTAATTTGATTTTATCATGACAGGATTGTAAACACTAAGTGATTAACTATAATAAACCACATATCATGTCAAAAATCCCAATTACTGATCTCTTCATAATGTGTGGATTGATGTATGGAATTTTAAAAATGAAGACTTAAAGAAGATGTTTAAGAAAAAACAAAAAACAAGTCAACCTATTTTCTATAACTTGCAGATTGTCACAATCACTATTATCGGTAACCAAAAATACATCTTTAAATTGGAGTTACTTCACTTGCAGCCAAAGAAATGTTGCTGATCAAATAAAGGTATAGAAGCGTTACATAATGGTGAAATTTATGTGAGTGTGAGTGTTAAATAAGTGTGTAGTCTTCTGACAATGTGGAAGTGGACAAGAACTTGACAAAGGTAAAGTTTCTTCAGTCATAACAGATTCATGAGGGATTCAGAGCTTGAAGTTATTACTTTTGAACTGTCAAAAAAAACCTTCACAACCCAGACAGACAGTGATGTTTGAGAACGGGTGGAGACGTGAGGCTCGTCTCATAGGTCTGGATAAAAGTCAAAACCCCATTACACAAAATCCATTGTGCATCCCCTCTGAATAACACGCCAGGGAAGACTAAACTAGCTTGTCATCGATTCAAACACAGTCAGAGCTATTGTACATATTGACAAGGACCAGGCATCTCACCATGGAGAGAAATCCCAAAACATTGGAATCAACAGAGAATAATGAGAGCAATTTAAGACTGTCCGTGAGATTCCAAGACGCTCTGAGATTTCAAATGAGTTGAGTCCAACATTGTTGTTACAAAATTATCTCTTGGTTATGTAAAGGGTTCTGTCATGCACAAAGAGCAGTCGGGTAAAGGATATAAAGGTGCTGTAACATAAATGTCTCCATTTTACCCACAACAGTATCTCACAGGAGAAGGGTCAAATGTACTCCAATGACTTCATTAGCTCATTTGCATAAAGTTACATATTCTAATCTTAGCCGCACTGATGGACACGACCCCAACACTCCGTCTTGCTCATTTCACATTATAGCTTCTGGTTGTTTTATCACTAATCACAGTCTACAAAAGTGCCTTAAAATCAAATATTTTTGCATTATTTATTTACCTTTAGTTTCATCTTAAATGTATTTGATATATAGGTTTATTTATTTTTATTTCAGTTTTAGCCATTTTAGTTCTTCCTGATAAGTTTTATTTCTGTTAGTTGCCAAGGCAGCATTTCTAATTTTGTTGTTTAAGATTTTTATAAAAAAAAATATATATATATATATATATATATTCATCTTTTTTTATTACTGAAAATTATTATTTATTTATTTTTTTTAATTTTTAAATTTAACTTTTTATTTATTTATATTTTTTGCTTCATTCTCACCTTCCGTTCAAAAAAAAACAACAAACGGTCTGTGTTGCTGATGAGTTGATTCTCTGTAAATTCACACATACAGAAACCAGGACGTGTACAGAAAAAAAAACTGTGTCTGCAGAAAAGGGCTAACACAAACACAGGGACGGGAATCTGGATCCACACAGACAGAACTGCCTACGGATACAAGTCAAGCTCACACAAACAGATTTCCTGTGACACATGAACAGAAAAGATCAGATATGACTCACTATTAAACAATCCCTTTCGAAATTGACCTAAATAATCAACTGCTCATACTGATCAATTACCTGACAGAGTTAATGATCATTTGATAGCAACGGCAATTTTAAGCACTTGGTTCTTTGAAAGACCGCTAATGGCGTTTCATTACAAACATCTGTCATATAACACACAATATTGACATCATCATCGTCAAAGTGGTTCCTCCACAATATACAGACATGGAGCAAATGACTCACAGCACTGTATTTAATGTAATGGAACTATGGCTACAGAGTAAAATATAATATAAAAAAAATTAAAAAAGGAGAAAAAAAAAGAAACTTATTAAGGGAAGGCAGTGCAAAACAATAAATAATATTAATATAAATAAGACAAGAAAAGAATAAATACAAAAATATATAAAAATACTAATAAATAGTAAGAATAAGATAAGTTCTTGAGAAGAAAAGTAGAGGTAGTTTAAATTACACTTTTATATATTTGTGTAAATTTATATTTATTCTTATTTAATATCAAGACTTCAATAACTTATTCAATTCAATTCATCACAACCTCTCCATTCAAATTGGTTCATCAACCATAACTCCTTCCAGTATAGCCAGGAATCTTGGAGCTGTGAATGTTGATCAATTAAGATTCACGGACCATTTTGCTACAACGTCCCGGTCCTGCAGATTTGCCTCGTACAACATCCCTCCTAACGGAGCATGCTACACGAAGCTCTTGTTCTATCCAGACTGAACTACTGTGATGCTCTCTCGTCAGGCCTTCCAGCATGTACTGTCAAACCTGTGCAACTGATCCAGAACGCCAGAGCGCACATCACACCTCTCTCTCTTCACCGGTTTGCACTGGCTGCCAATAGCCACTTGCATCAAATTCAAGACTCTGTTTGCCTACAGAACAACCACTGGCTATGCACCACTACAGTTAAAGTGAACGGCGCTTGGTGGTGCCATCCCAAAGAGGCATAAAATCACACTCACTGACCTTTTCCTTGTCTGTTCCCTGCTGGTGGAATGACCAGCCTAACTCAATCTGAGCAGCTTTAAAAAAAAACAGCTAGACGCATCTTTTTCGTCAACACCTGACCCAATAATATAAGGCATTACTTGTTCTATTCTGTTTCTCTATTTATTTATTCCCCCTATATGTGTGCACTTTTTGCAAGACTAACTGGGATTTGACAACAATTACATATTGTTGCCCTTTTGTTGATTTGATTGCTTCTATTGTTCTCATTTGTAAGTAGCTTTGGACAAAAGCGTCAGCTAAATGATTGAATTTGAATATTATAAATGATATGAATATGAATATTAAATGTAATATTATAAATAATTGCTTCAATAATAATTTATGTTATTGAAGCAAGCTTTAATAAAATTTAGCTTGCTTCAATAATAATAATTAGGAATGTAACAATGTATCGGAATAAAAATGCGACAATATGTATCATAGATGTTATAGAGTCATAGAGTTAGTTACTTACTGTTATTATAAAGTATAAATTACCCCAGGTACTCACCCTCATGCTGTTTCGAACCTGAAATATTTTCGTTCATCTTCCAAACATAAATGAAGATATATATTATTTTGAATAATATGAGATATTTTGAAATCTGAGAGATTTTGGTTCCTACATTTCAAGTAAATTCCCCTAAAACTTAAAAGATCATCTTCTCTGTGTAAGATATTCAATGAATGCCTGCATTGAAAGTGCAAGTGTACTGCGTAAGAAAAAAAGTAAGTTTCAGTAACAGTGCTACACTAACTACTAATAATGTATAATAATGCAATGGGGCAATATTTGTGGATCCATAATGATAATGCCAATAGCTGATATTACCAGTAAAAAAGGGCTTACATTAGTTATAGGCTATCCATAGTATAATACTGTCTTTTTAGGTTCAGAATCATTAATATTTTTATTCTGGTGTGGCAATTGTTTTACTTCTTTACCCGTTCTCTCTTATGTTTCAGCTATCCCAATTAAAATTCAGTTTTATTGTTCAGACACCTAGTCAATTGTTCATTTACACACAGAAGGTTCAATTAAAATATTTATTAAGTTGTATGTACAACAAAGTTATTGAAAATCTTTTATTTGAATTTAAGTTTCATTTTTTAATTTTGATCAAAATATTTTGATGCGTATCGTATCCTGAACCCAGTCATTTGGAAGCTTTGACAGTTTAAATCAATAGTGATCAATGGAACGCAAACTTTAAGAAAAATGCATTTACCAGAGACGTTGATGGAGGTTCCGGCATCGATCACTCCGCTGTTTGGCCGCACGCAGTACCGGCGCGGTGCAGTCGTCTTTACTTTAAAGCACACATTTCTGTCTGTGGGATTAGCGAGCTTTAGGGTGGTGGTCACCACATCTGTAAATGGACCTGAGGGGAGAATCACAGGACATTCAATTGTTACATTCCAAACTCGGGTGTTGCCCTGTGCTTGTTAGCGCATTGCCATGCAGTTGCTAGGGTGTGCTGGGTGATGGCTTGCCGCAAAAAAACATCTCAAACAATATCTGCAGCCAGACTGCTCTAAGTGGCCACATCGATTTACAACCTTGTAACCGATTTCACCCCACCAATAATGATTTGTGACAAATCAAATTAGTGGCACATTACAAAATTAGTGGCACACAAGGCCAAAAGACCACAGCATTGTTCTCAACCCTGGCACTCGTTTTACACTGCGGCAAAGAATACGGGTGATTTTCAGGAAAACGGAAACAAAGGGAATTTGTTCTGCCAAAGGCTGATGCTAATCAGTCCATATCACAGAATCAATTAATTTAAATGTCTGTGGTGATGAACAGAGACTTGAAAACTATATGGTGATAGAGGGAAGATTTATACATGCTTTCGAAATCTTGGGGTCGGGGGTTGTGTTTTTTGAAAGTTTCTTATTCTCAATAGGTTTGCATTTTAAATGAAATTTATTTCCAACCAATGTCTGATGAAATCAAATCATTTCCAACACCTGAATATTTCCCCCGGAAACAAGGTTGAGTCAAGAAACTAAATAAAAATATAGAAAAACAAAAAGGCCTTAGCTTAGTTAGTTGTACAATAAATATGTTTGTATAAACACTACAAATACAAGGATTAATTTTTTTCTATTGTAGTCTACATAAAACTAAGAACTAAGAATAATTTGCAACACATTTTTTATTTCACATTTTTCATTATGTGCAAAAACAAATAAAACGTGACTTTTATCCATCAGGCTGAGCAAGTTCTTACATTTTGATGATTGATTACAAAGATAAACAATGAAATTGCACAATATAACCATAAATCAATGTGTGTTCCATCGGGCCAATTTTGATTTCCCATTGACAAACTTGTTAGTTCTGTCTCAAACACCCTTTGTAATATGGCAGCACCACACATCAAGTATGCAACACCTCATCTAGGTTAATTCTATTAAACCAGTTAAATTATTGAGAGGCTGAGACACTTGAAACCCATAGTGAGCCTTATGTTGTTTGAGCCTTTATGTTGCGTGTTACAGAGGAAAAGACGCCAGACGAATTAAGCGCCTTGGGCCTTTAAAACCTTAAAAGAGAGACAAACATTGCACAAGGCCTAAGACTATTCTGGCCAAAAGCCTTACGCTCCATGTCTTTTCCATTCATTCAGACCTATACGGAGAACCTGATAGAATTAGTGCGTAAGTAATTGCAAAGCATGAGTCATGCAGAAAGTCATCATTCTCTGTATTAATTTTATTAGGTAAATGACATCACCAATCAATAAAAAGTGTCTAAGAAGAACAAAAAACTATTTATGAAAAAAAAAAACAGCCCTTTTATGGTAGGGCTGGGAATTTGGAGTAATCTTGTAATAGAAGTACTTAAATTAAATTATAGTATAAATGACAAATAACAAGTATGACTTACAGTAAAATTATAGTTTTATTCACAAACATCACAACACAAATTAAGATGACATTTTTAGGATCAGATTTAAAAATAATATGCTAAAAACTATTAAAAAACTGCATGTTTATAATCACATATAGTACTTTATAGTTACCATTTAGTCATGTAGTCTCACTTTAATGCATACATATTTTTCATTAAAGAGCCTCAGTTTGACCTCTAAAGTCAGACTGAGCTTCAAGAAAGTTCTAGGATATTTTGCACACACAAATATGATCCCCTTGAGCACTTTAAAAAACTCACTGTACACATCATTTAATGTAGAAGAGTTTTTCCTGCCAAACAAGGTACAACGGCGGGAAAGCCTCGTGCCTTTCGTATAGCTCAGAAATACCCAACACATCTGTCTGCCGTGATGCAGCGTTCATCTACATGGAGAGATACTTGGCATCCGCACGTGTGCAGATGTGACTCGTCTTTCCAACTCTGCATTTCAACATCTGCCTCTCATTTACACCCTGCTTTATAGCCCTAAAACATATTTATTACAGGACCGTTTCATGATCATTATAATAATTCAGAGATCCAAGGTCTGAATCAATGAGAACTTATATAATTTCACCACATGGTTCAAGGTATTAGTGATTCTAAACGGATGGAACACGCCAAAAAGGTTCAGACCTGCTAAATCAAACAGACGTCACCATATTTTAACAGCTTTGCCCCATTACTACTACACCTGGACCACCTCAAAATCTCAAACTGCCCTTTATACTTCCTAAAATGACATAATTATTGGCTGGAGGGGAGGTACTTCCTGAACTCTACAGATGAGGCTTCAGACACTTTAAATATCAAGTGGCATGCCTGGACGGTTGGGTTATTGTTACCTGAAGTCACATGCTACTTGAGAGCATCACTAACTTTTCAATCAAGTGTATCGTAAGGGGGTGGAGTCTGAGGCAGGAGGTGTGGTGTAACTTTAAGATGATTTTGGCTTCTTTATGGTGTATGACCCATGCAGGCAGCCTTCTCTGGGGGGAGGCCTTGTCCAGTGCTGAGAAACAAATGCATTGTACCTCATTTATAAAACATAAGCCTGCAACTGAGTTTTGGACTACACCTACCAACTCTGCAGAGGATTTGAGATCTCTTTAGCTTTGATGTAATGTCGGCTAAATTAACTCTTGAAAAACAAATATGTTAAACTGTCCTCAATTGTGCAGTACTTACAGCTTTTAGATTTAAATTATGGCAATATATGTATTAAATCATGACCCATTAAAATGCATGATAATAACAACAGAATATAAAGATTTACACCCACATTTTTCAACTTCACAGCCATGTGACGCTTATTTTAAGATTATATATTAAGTGTTTCCTAACAAAATTAACTTTGGTTAAAATGAAAGCTTATTTAGAAAGGGGGGAAAAGTGTGTTAATACATAAGCTTGCTTTCTATTGAAAATTTTTCTTCCCCCCTTGTTTTGTGCATAAACCTCACTTAATTTAGTTAACTGACATTGAAGATTTCATGTCTTATGTCATTTTACTTCATAAGGCAATTTTATCCTTTTTTCAGGATACTGAAAATCAGACAATGGTCCTCACTGCAGAACACGAAATCCAGGGGGAGGAGTTGGATCTGGATCCCTCCCAGCTTACGTATACCTAAACCTACTCATCTCCACCGTCCGATCTCTAACCCCACCCCTAATCCTACCCATCTCCACCCCTTAGAGCTGGATCCAACTCCGCCCCTTGGTGTAAGAAAATTTGTATATTCTAGTGTAGCATATTCATTGTCTGAAAGTGCTATGTCAGCATAAGGCTATTTTCATGGCAAAAATTTAATTACAGTTACACGAATACAAATATCATATAAATATAATAAAACCAAGCAAAAAAACACTTTAAAAACAAACATGTTAATTTTTTTATTAACAAGATAAAAAAAAAAAATCCAAAACCTTTTAGGCATAATCTTACTAAATAAGTCCTTAATTTATAATTAATAATAGCTCTGATATGTGGGGGAGGAATTTTATATTCTTCATTGTCTAAAAAGAGCTCAAACTAAAAATGAATGTTTAGTAGACCTAAAAGATCTAAACGTCTGTAGAGAACAAAAACATTTGGACAATCACATCAGGCGACAATTTTACTGTAACTATGCACTACCCTTTGAGTTTGAATCAGGAGAATTTTGGAGAAGCATTTAAGAACTGGCACTGATCCACAGTGGAACTGACTGTGGCTAATCTTTCTCAATTGTAGTGATTGATTAACAACCAAAATGAAACCTGGAAGAGAATAAGTTAGCACTCACACTGCATGCGAACCGTGCCTGAGTCCAACTGAACCATGCTCTGGCCCACCTCTTCCAAGCGGGCCAGGGCCGGCTAGACACGGTTCGGAGCACTCACACTAATCAAACGAACCGCGCTTTGGTGGTCAAACGCACTCGGGCACGGTTCAAACTGGCTAGAGTGAGTACACCCTAAGATTATTCCCAGCATAGACTTGATTTAATGTAGCAGCCCTTTAAACAGCACACACACTTTTGAAGACATAGCATTAACCAATAGCCCTCGTGGCCTAGGTGACATCAGTTGAAAAAGTCATTTCTGAAGAATCGTGCACAAGAACAGTATTGCTCAACAAGCAAGATTACCAAAGGAAAACTAAGCAATAAAAAAGGTGCAATGGTTACACACTCATTAGCTTTGATATCAATGCTTATTAAAAGTTGGTTGTTGATAAGCAAAGATTAGATATGGCTTGTTGTAAAAAAACAACTTTGTAAGTGAGCAGTTCATTTCAGAGTTTATTCATAAACAAAAACACAAAACTCCAGGTTAACATGAAACTAACAAAAGGCGTGACAGGAACCATTAGATTAAACAGTTTAAAGAAAAGTATATTGACAACATAGTATGTATGTTGGGGAAACCAAATGGCATTAGACAGCCATTGATATTTAACTCCTACAACTATGAGCATGTCTAATGCAGGGTCCAGAGTACTACACAATATCAGCCCGGTCCATTAGATGTAGGTTGTCTTGCTGATTCGTAAATGACAATGGGCATCAGGACGTAAGAATTTATTGTTTTATCTCATAGTGTCATTGTGTCATAGTGGATGACAACCGTCGCCACATCTGCAACGCTTCGACGTCCCAACAGAACTAGCATGTTTATTTTTTTTATGGTGCTCCACGACGGGTACCGTCACATCTGTGACACTGACCAATAGGAGCACAGAAGCTTTTCCATACACAGCTTTCAATCATGGCGAAACAAAAGAATAGTCCTGCGTGATGTTTCGACGAAGGACTACCACGACGATACGATAAATGTTGATTCTCACTACTGATTCCTGACTCCAAGTCGCCCCGTCGTTTCAAAGAATAGTACAATGGCGAGCACATTAAAGGGTTAGTTCAACTTCACCCAAAAATTAAAATGCTGTCAGATCATGAGCGTCATCTTAGTTCTTAGTTTTTCTGTGCTTAAGTGCTATAATCAGGTTCACTGTACATCTACCAACCCTGAAAACGTGAAAAGTGACAACCCAGTAAAAGTCTTTCACTGCAAGCATGTTAAAAATTAAGTCGTTCTGATTTCACTCCCCTTCTGACGTAGGAAGGGGATCTTATTATAATATGACCATCCCTTATTCTGCACGTTTCCACCCATGGCGCTGCCATTTGGTTTTCTCAAGTGACAACGGTGTAGCAATAACAAAAATTATAGCTAAGCATGCAAACTGTTCTGTCGTTGCTGCACAGATGAGCACTGAACACTATTGGACAAAAAAAGGACACACCTGTCTCATAAAGAACAAAGGGAACTGTCAGTTTATGAAAAATGTAAATTTGCCCAAGGTAGGGTGACTAAAGAAGGAATGCTGTTTCACCGATATTGCAAGTTGACTTGCCAAAACTTTAAAATTAGAGCATATTTGAGGAAATCAGTCAGTATATTGTTTTGAAAAATCACTTTTTAGCAAATAAAGTTTCAGAGGGAGGCAAACTCTCTTCTGCCCATTCCCAGCAAATGCAAGAACTAATCAAATGTATAACACGATTCCAATACCAGCTGCTTTGGATTAAAGTCGCAGCCAAATGCATAAATGTAAATGTGAAAGTTGAGCTCAATGCACTTTCATTGAGCTCCTTAAAGGGGTAGTCCACCAATGATTAATTCTGTCATCATTCACCCACCCTTACACCATTCCAAATTTCCAATCCAAACCTGTATGACTTTTACACTTGTATGGAACACAAAAGAAGAATTTTTTTGGAAATGTTGGAAACAAGCGGTCACATGGGAGGTGTCCGTGCCTCCACAGCATTCTTATTGGCTTATTTCTTGCGAACTTTAATAAATATTATGCTAATGTAAACATACAACAATATAGCATTGGTCTCCTGTCGACAGTAATTAGTATTCCCAGTCCATGAAATTAAACCCTGGAATTGTGTAAACATAAAATTTATGAACTTACATTAGACTAAAAGCCCCAAACCTTAAAAGTCTACAAAATGGCAACTTGTTTTCACAAAAATACCTAAATAAGTTTGTTTACAACATAATTATCATCCATGTCAGGTGGAGTAATAGTACAGGTGATTTTTCAATGGTGACAACGACTTCCTGACTGGAAGCAGCAGCGAGGTAGGTTGCCAGATTTCGCTAGAAATATATGCAACATGTTCTTAAAAAATAAGCCAAAAATAATCGACTTGCCAGACCGAAAGAAGTCAAAATATGCGGCCCAGTTCTTCATGCTCACGAGAGGAACCATTTCTCTTTCGATCATCTGAACACGAGGAGAAATGAGCACTCGCCTTGACAGCTCACTCACAGCGGTCATTCAATCAGAGAAATATAACACTAACGTTAAATAACGACACATACACACTTTGTATGCAAGTAAGTTAGACGAAACATTAATAAGCAAACATCCCATTGTATAAGCTAACGTTACTGTATGAAGAAAATAAAAAAACGCGACGTCGCTAATAATGAGCAAACATGGCAACACTCGTTGAACTGCTTCATACTAACCGAATTAACCAGCCCACCAGAGGAGCCTGTATTTTAAGGCCTAAACAGGCTAGCTCGAGCTAACGAGCTAGTCAGTCTTCAGTTAAACCTAGTCAGCACTTAATCTACTCCTTGTGAAAGGGTTTTGATGTCATTCTAATTAGTTTGGAGCGATTTATCATTACGGCGCTGCGCCATATTATCATTATAACTACAAGGATTGAGGCCTGTCAGAAACGCCATCTCACCGCCTCTTTCTGCCCTTATCCCCCTAAAAAATGACCCTCCCTCTTTGTGTTGGACGTTAAAGGCGCTCGTCCACGGCTGTGTCAGTCTCTCCACTCACCTCGGAACCTCAGTTCGTGCTGCGGTTCTAGAAGCAGGACCTGCTCTGGTCTGGCCATCTCCCACTGCGCTTGAAACGCGTTCAGACTGGCTGCGCTGACGTCCGCTCGGACTGACTGTGACGGGCTTGACGGTTGAGGCTGTTAGTCGATGAGGACTTCTGTTACCTTTATTTGAAATAAAAACTCCACAAGGCAGTGGAAATAGCTCAGTTACCCGATCCACTAGCGACTGTTGTGATGCAGCAGGAAGGGACTGTGAGAGAGAGAGAGGGAGAGAGAGGCTGGCCGTGACGTCACTGCCCCTGCAGTACTCAGTAGTGGCGACTGATGTGAGGAGAAGGGTGTAGTAGAATGAGGGAGGGGTGAGCTGTCTTTATGGGTCATCTGTCATGAACCATGTTATGAAAATGTTACGGTAACTTTGTAGTTACAATGGCCACTGAAGAAAATGCTAGCATTTTTATTGTTAAAAAGTTTTAATTATGTTGTAATATTTTAGGCCTATATATATATATATATTTAAAAACAATACCCTAATATCTTGTATTTCATACATTTTTGTTATGTAATTATAATTATTTTATATTCAAAGAGCCTCCGAATGTTTGTAGGCTACCTAAAACAATTGCACAAATATAAATACTTTTTATAATTAAAAAGATTTCATCATATTTATAATATTATATTAAAATATTTATTTAATAAATATCCTAATTTATAAAAATATATATAATTCATATATTCAATTTAATGACCCTTATATTTAAGAGGCGTAGGATATTTGTACACAAAAATAATAAATGGCACTGCAAAACAATAAAAAAGGTAATTGTTTGTGTTTTTTATGAACCACCGAATTTTGTATTTGGGCTGTGTATATTTAAGGATTTTTTAAAAATGGTTAATCGTAATGTAAAAAAATAAATCTGTTCTTTGAAAGCAATAGTAATCCAACTGAATATCTAAGAATGAACATGAATTACTTTATCCTCCGCCAAGTTTCTAGATCCGTCGTACTTGCATCTGGTTGAATAGGGGAGTTAATTTATGCTCAGTTTGGCAGTTTTGAATACAAGCTCTTGGAGGGCCGTTTTACTTTCCTCAGCACAATTAAAATATCAGCAGGGACCCCCTGCCAAAGGAGACACATACCACAAGTGTCATATGTGTATATATAGCCCATAGGCCAGTGCAGGAGAAACTAGCACTGCTGCAAACACATTGTCAATCCCCCTAAACTTATTCCGAACTAAAACTAAGAATTAGGAGTAACTGCAAACCAAACAAACTCAATGTGTATGTTGATTAAGAATCAAAATCAAAATGGATTTTGTATAATTTTATTAGTAATAAAGAGCCAACCATTTCCCTTTTGCACATTCACAAATGAACAAATAAATGTTATTTTCAAGCATTCTTTGCATGACAAAACAATAAAAGAGACAAGGTAAAACCATTAATGATTAGGTTAAATTACTTTTGTAAATACTGAATTACAATGGTAAGTGGTAAAGTAACATTGCCTATATCAATTCATTTACAGATTTCATCCAATGTGAAGTGTATACAAGGACGCAAAGTACATAATGAGAATTTCACAACTTTCTTAGGGCCAGCCCAAGACTGTTGGCTCTGTTCTTCCACCTAAACACCACTGTAAACCACACCGGACGGCGTATTATCCAGTCCGAGTGACTCGAGCATGTAGTTGCATTCAAAGGCAATAATGCAAAGCCTGTGCTCCCCAGCAAGAGGACAAGCAATTCAGAAAGTCCTTTCCAATTGGCCAGGAATTCAAGAACTTCGAGAGGACTAAATTAGACATTTGGTCTCACTGTGAATCACAGGCTTTGTACAAAGACAAACAAACAGCTGCTCTACAACATTTAGAGCTAGCAATGCATTTCCATACATTGTAAAGGCCCTTCAGTGACTTTAATAGCATGTGACATTAGTAGAGCTGTTTCCTTCTTCAATTAGTTTGACATGAGATAAAGAAAATAAAAGAATAAATGCTTAGGACTGTCATTTAAACTAGAATGAAAGACACACAGGAATTTTGAAAAAGTGCAGTTTTCCCCCCAAATATTGTTCCAAATATAGCCTTAAATTTAACAAGCAGTCTTCTAAAGGAAAATATTGTTGTGCTAAAATTCATGGATTAACTACAAGTCTATAAATCTCTCTGCTATTATTACTGACAGCACATATTTTGGAGGGGAAAAGTATTATTATTGCACTTGTGAATTCCTGAAAACATTGGCAGCACTGCATATAGAATCACAGGATAAAGGACGGGAATATCCATTCTGATCCACTCAACACATTCTATGTCTCCAATATGCCAATATAGTGTCAAAAGCACATGTAATATACATGATTTTTTTTTTAAAGTACCATCAAAGCCAACTTACTAATTTCTAAAAACAACAGAGATGGTGTAACGTATAAGTGTACATTTAGATGAATCACATTTTAAGTACATAAAACTTTGTCATTGTGGGTATTCAGTTGATAAATCATAACATATTTATTCCATATTCTCAAATGCAACATTGTAACAGATAATCTTAAAGGAGTAGTTCACTTTTAAACAAACTTTTGCTGATAATTTACTCACCCCCATGTCATCCAAGATATCCATGTCATTCTTTCTTCAGTCGAAAAGAAATTAAGGTTTTTGATGAGAACATTCCAGGATTTTTCTCCATATAATGGACTTCAATGGGAACCAAACGGTTCAAGGTCCAAAAGACAGTTTCAGTGCAAACTGCAAACTGTTCAAAGGGCTTTAAACGATTTCAGACGATGAATAAAGGTCTTATCAAGTGAAACGATCGCTTATTTAAAAAAAACAACAAAAAAAGTTTAATTTTATAAGCTCAAATGGTCAGCTTGCTCTGTTCTGTGATACGCGTTCGTGACTCTCCTGTTTAAAGTCGTTTATCAAAATGAACAAATCTTTTCCCGAGTCAACTCGTTCATTTCGTTCATTGAATGAACCAAATGACACGAAAAAAGATTTGTTCATTTTGATGAGCGAGTTCGATCAGGAGAGTCACGAACGCGCATCACAGTACAGAGCAAGGCGAACATTTGAGCTTATAAAACTTAAACTTGTTTTTTATGAGCGATCATTTCGCTTGATAAGACCCTTATTCATCGTCTGGAATCGTTTAAAGCCCTTTGAACGGTTTGCAGTTTGCACTGAAACTGTCTTTTGGACCTTGAACCGTTTGGTTACCAGTAAAGTCCATTATATGGAGAAAAATGCTGGAATGTTTTCATCAAAAACCTTCATTTCTTTTCGACTGAAGAAAGAATGACATGGATATCTTGGATGACATGGGGTGAGTAAATTATCAGCAAAAGTTTTTTTAAAAGTGAACCACTCCTTTAAATTTTGGCTGAATAAACTTAAATTCTACACGTGTAGAAAAAGAGCCACTCAACCACGTTGTGTTATAACACTCTTGAACGAATAGTGTGTGCATGTATACAAATCTTTTAAAGGTAAGTTTCTCAGATTGTCAAAAAATTAGACTTAAATGAAACTGACGCCTGAGCTCTTGAGAAAATATTTAGGCTAAAAAAATGAGTGACAGCAAAGAAGAGTTATTTCATTTGGGGTCAATTCATGTGGTATAGTTACTTCCCTTTGCTTTATTTATTTATTATTATTTTTTTTTTATTTTTTTTGAAGATGAAGAGTTTAGACATCTTGCTCTTTCTGAAACAAGACTAGTTTCCAGATACGCTTCTTTTTTTTATCCCTGTCCAGATAGTAAAAGCATGTTGGATGTGTACAGGCCAAAAGTTATTCAGTGAAGGAATGAGAAAGATGAAAAATGTTTACGAGACAATTAGGGCATTTGGCAAGACCTCTCAAAATCTCTCAATCCAGTAAAAAAGGAAAAGTCATGAAAAAGAACAGCAAGGGAGCTGAAGAGACCACTGCCAACTAACACAAATAGTTAAAATGCAATTTCAGAAACTATTTGGACATACTGCACATACTGGACAAAAGCCTAAAGCGCACCGTATACAAGATTCCAGCATTTGGCTCCATCCCACTAACATTACAGTTCTGATATGGAAAACATGCGAACAGTTGGAATAGTTATCAAATCTAACACTTTGAAACTGCTATTCTAAAAGACTGGCCAACTTTCTCTCAAAGCGTGAGGGTTGAGCTTCACTAATGCCTTGATTATGCACTGCAAGCAGTAACAACGGTCAGACACTGTAAAACATAAGTCTATTCCAACTGCTTATTAGTCCAAGAACAGGCTGGATAGCTAGAAATCTGGCAACAGAGGATGTGGCAAATTGGAGCAAAAAACGTGCTACTATTGTAATCTCGACTTGCAAATGGATGAAATATGCAGATGGTTATGTTGAACTCATGCATCAACATCACTGACCACTGATCTGCTACTACTGGATCATTACTATGTCACAAAAAGTGTACGGGACTAAAAAATTGCAAAGATTTGGCACATTCTTCATATATAACTTCATAAACTCATCTCAAAATTGCCAAGGCTTATTATCATTGAACCATAAAATCCCAGAGTTATCTTTATCTGTATTCAATCTGTATTATCTCTATCTGTACTCAATGTTATTTTTTCCAATTGAAAATATAGGAAAGACAGCTATATCCTATGCAACAGGAATACAACACTAATATTTCTATAGTAGTAAATATTAAATATGGGTTTGAGTCAATCTCATGTCACATTTTACCCCCAAAATCACGAGAAAAAATATGAGGTCTATTTTTAGGAGCATTAAAAAAAATAGTCCTAAGAACAGACTTTAAATTGACTTGCAAAATAGAATTTCAGGTTTTCTTTTTCATTTGATTTGAGTGAAATGTGACCTGGATATGTTTATGACAGGTTTCATGAGATTCGCCCATTTGTATATTTTTTTTATTTTTATCATATATATCAAAGATGTGCAAAAATAGTGAGGCAAGAAAGCTGTGTTGCTTGCATTTGGAGAGCTGAGACTTTTCAAAATGTACAGACGGACAGACAGTAGCTTTACTTGAAAACTTCAGAGTTTGGCAGAGGTTTTTGCATGAATGAACGAGAGAGAGAGAGAGTGTGAGAGAGAAAGAAAGAGAGAGACAGTATCTGATCTGTTAAGCAGGTGTTTTCTTTGCTGTCTGATTTTGGGCGGTGATCTAGAACAGAAATGGATCCCCAAGGACATTTGAACGGGGGCTGAAGAGCGTCTTTTTCAAAGAAGTGACCATTGCATCGGGATTCAGACAAATCTCATTTAACAGATTTGGCTCCAAAAGGAAGTTACGTAACTTCCCCAGTAACATCACATTCTTCATTTGCTATTCTCCTTGTTTACTAATAGAAAGAAACTGAGGCTGGAGAGGATCTGGCCAAACTGTTTACGACTGCGTCAGCAGCAAGTACGTTCCCTGGTCGACTCTGATGGTTGACGACGAAGTTTGAAGCCCTTGACCGCAGACCCATCTGCATCTATAACTGGGATCCTTTGACCTATAAAGGAAATGAAATAAAAATTAAAAGGAGCATAATGACATTACCTTTTGTTTCAATCGGAATGAATTCATTCTGATTGATAAATCTGATCTTACACTCTAAAAAATGCTGGGTTGTTTTAACCCAACGTTGGGTCAAATATGGACTAACCCAGCCGTTGGGTTAAATTTTTACATTACATTTTTAACCCAGCATTTCGGGTTTGTCCATATTTGACCCAAAATTGGGTTAAAACAACCCAGCATTTTTTAGAGTGTAGTGTTTACGTGAACGCTAAATAAAGTGATCGTGTTAATGTGCGCGTTGATATGTCACAAGCTTTAAATTGGAATGGATTTTTTGACATGCTCACACTGCACAAATATAGTTTCCCGCTGTTTGGGCATACTAACAATTCTTCTATATTGCATCTTTTCTTTGTTTTAAAGAGGAGACCTAGTATTTATGTATTTCAGGTCCTAATTAGGGGAAGCGAGCACATGAACTGTTGTGCCGTGTTGCTCAAGCAGTAAAAAAACGCCCCTTTCCCCGCCCAAAACAAGAGAAAATCCAACTCTTCCCACCTTACATATACCTAAACCTACCTATCTCCGCCCACTGATCCCTAACCCCACCCCTAATCCTACCCATCTCCACCCCTTAGATCTGGATCCAACTCCGTCCCCTGGATCTCGTGTCTACTGCGAAACAAGGCATCTGTGGATGAGAGTCTGAAACAAGGACTGGTGGGAAGTTGTCCTGCTCCACTTCAAAGATGATGAGTGGAAGGAGAAGTTTAGAATGACACTTTATTCAACAACAACAGCTCATTCCGTGCATCATACGTCATTACGCCATTTCTACATCACTGACCATGCGCAGTACTTTCCAGTTTCAGGTTTCAATCCGATCAAGTGCCATCTTAATCGCATTACAAAATGTTCAAACCACCACATTTTGAATCGGATTTGGCCAGGCTATTCTGACGTGGTTACCTGTGACTTTTTTATTCTGACTGTGCTACTAGTCTGATTAAAATCGGATTGTTGGGGTCCATGTAAATGCAGCAATTGACAATAACAATGCAAAATGATTAGCCATTTCAGTGTCTGTACAAAAGTCACAAGCATGGTGTCACGCCTGCTCCTTGATGGGGCAACTGCCAAGATCCACGGTAAAAGATCTGTATCCACTGTAACCCATCCACTGCCCTGGGTCCAAATGGCGAGAACAAGTATCCACAGAAGCACTATTCTCACCACCATCAGGATCAATTATAGATCATGCATTCATTATCATTTTAATAATAAATAATGTTGCAATAAACAGAATTTATTAAAACTAAACCTGCCTGTGATCAAGCTCAATCTAGAGAAGATGTTTGGGGCTCTGAATGAGTGCTTCTAGATTGTTTGTTAAATTGGCCTTGTTAATGGCAATGCACCAATGATGACTAGTTAATAGTATACTCACTTATTTGAATGAAGACTTCATTGATGTTAATGGCATTTTTGGCACTGGTTTCAACAAATATGGCATGAATGGAGTCAGCATAGTCCTTGGCATCTTTCTCTGAAACCTCTCTGGAAAGCAAAAGCACAAAGCAACAGAAAAGGGTGAAATAAGAGAGTGGAGTAAGCAGTAGCAGTTTTACAACTAATAACACACTAATAAGTAATCAGTTTCATAAATGAAGAATTCTGATATTTTCAAAACCCTCAAAAAGTGTGGCATGCCATTACTATTATTATTGATATTTGAGACTAGAAGGATTTAAAAAGACACCGTGGTTGAGTGAGAGATTATCTGAGTGGGGTGAACCTTGTAAAACTCATGTATTTATGTTTTTGTGATGGTGGTGTAGAACTAGCACAGGGCAGCATGTTAGAGGTAAACTTTTGTGTGCTGGTTCTCTGTGCACCTGTCACCTGATCACAGGTACTGATCAGATTGCACCCGTGCTACACATATCAGGCCGGTCACACTGACAATGGATCAATTTTCCATTGACGCTTTGCTCTCTTAGATTAACCGCCAAGACAGTGATGTTTTCTTTAAACATTTCGATCAACTAGACTTTTGTTGGTCACTGGCAAACAAGTCATTGGCACCATGCTAAGGTGTTGTTTGTGGTTGCTAGAGTGTTGTGGGTGGTTGCTAGGGTGTTCTGTCTGGTTGCAAACTAGCCCTATAATAGATATATGTGGTGAGAGACCATATCACCCCAGTTTTGAGCACTTTAAAATGGCTACCAATACCAATCGACCACAGAGTATATTTAAAAAAAAAAATATATATATATTTTTTGTATATAAATCAATGCATGGTATGGGTCCGCTGTATTTAGCAAATCTGATTAAGAAATATGAATCAAAGCGGTCTTTAAGGTCAGCTAACCAGCTGGTTTTGACGACTTCTACAACTAAACGGAGAAGCGGAGATCGAGCTTTTGTACCGATTGCCCCAAAACTCTGGAATGACCTACCCATTTCTATTAGATTAGAACCTATATTAACTGTCTTTAAACAAAAGCTAAAGGAATATCTTCTAGATTTAGCATTAAACGAGGTATAGTAGCTGTTCTTGTGGGCTTTCTAGTTGAGCTGTTCATTATATTGTATTTTAACTGTGGCGTAAGTGTTTTTTGTCTCCATTCTTGTCAAGCACTTTGTTCAACGACCAGTTGTGTAAAAGTGCCTAATAAATAACATAAATGAAATGAAAGTGAAAGACTATTTTTACCCGCTTTCTCCACCAAGTGAAAAAGCGCACATCTAATCAAATATCTAACCTCAAGTATGAGTAAAATCACAGCTTTTAGTTTATTGCTTTAATTAATATAATTTGAAATACTATTAAGATCTACAAATAGGGGTAATGTTATGAGTTAGTACATTTCCATGATGACAGTGTTTAGAGCAATTGATTTTTTCTTTTAAATTTGGAGCAAACCTCGTAAACTTCAAGCAAAGTATCTATAAAGAAACAATGACGGCTGTGGATCACAGAGAACAGCACCACTTGTGCTAGAAACAGAAATATGAGCCAGACAGAACAATTGCAAGAATTTTCCCTGATATTTATTGCCTGAATGGCTTGCGGTGCGAACGCTATTCCTCAGATTCAATGTCTCGGTCTTTATGGTTTCGAGAAGTAAAATACAACCACAATGACAGCTCACTAACACTGCCAACAAAAGCAATGGTGAACCAAGACATATCATTGGACCTGTGGGAAGAGTGAAGCAATTTAAAGTGGAAAGATAAATTACAGACCGCTGAAGAGTGGATTTCTTTTTCATCACAAGTTATGCTTATGGTAACGGTACGTGTGCGAGCTTGTTTTCAATGAGTCGAGACAAGTTGACAGCAAATATGTGGGTCTTTTCCCAACGTCAAATTGAGTTGACAGCCATTGCGGGTGCATCCCTTCAAGCTGAATAGAGATGACAGGATGTGAAGTCTTTTGTGGCAAGGACGCTGGAATTCACCTGGCATCAGAGAGATCACATTTGTTGCCAGCGATAGCCACCACTATGTTGGGTGGTCCGTGCTGGCGAAGCTCCTTCACCCAGTTCTTCAACGTCTGGAATGATTCCTAAGTGAGAGATGAAGAGATCTTCAAGGCAAGCAATGACAAGCAAACTTTTATGCCATCTACTGTCCCTCATGTTTGCTCGAAAACCTGTGTGGTCACATTTATTCAGTTGAAAACAAAAGGAGTCACCTAGCAGACCGTCTTCCATTCATTGAACATGAATGCAAGCACACAAAAGTAGTCTATAGGCACTAAATTTCAAGTCTTCTAAAGCCATACGATAAGCTTTGCGTGAGGAACAGGCTGACGTTCAACCCGCTACTCACTGAAAGTCTTACCACAGCCCATGACTCCTTTAATGTGCCATGGAAAAAAATAATCTCCCGTAGTTCGAGTGACATGAAGTCGAGTAGATGATGACAGAACTTTCATTTTTTGGGTGAACTATGCCTTTAATAGCTTTACCAGCAGAAAGATTTGTGTAGTAATAATAAAGAAATGTTTCATTACCTCTTTAGTGATGTCATACACAATGATAGCTGCAGCAGAGCCCCTGTAGTACATGGGAGCCAGGGCACGAAACTAAAAGCGAAACGGATAACATGCAGATGTCAGAGAAAAATAATGGCCGAAACTTTAAAAAAAGGGAAAAACACCAAGACCCAACATCCCTTGTAAGGGGCTGAGTGGCCAATCTCAACCTGCATATGCTTATTTTCAGAGCTTTAAAAGAATTTGTACGCTTTGGCTGAGGTCTCCATCGAGTTTCAGGCTGAATTAAGAGGATGGCTCAAACACACACACACAAAAACACATGTTATTCCAACTTGTTCCTTTCAAACTGAACAAACAGGCAGCGGTTAGGGAAACCCATGGTGAAAAACCCTAGAAGTAAGCCACCGTTAAAACCTAAAGGAGAATTGTGTTTCAGACGGACATGCCTAAGGAGTTTGAGTAGAGGAACTGCAAGGAAAGGCATATCAACACATGTGGGAGCCATCAGGGGAAAGATGAGCGCAACGTGTCAGAAGTTGTTAGCGTTTAATCATTGTAAAATAGCATAGTTGGTTTGTTTGACCTCGGTCATCAAAAATAGACTGATTAATAAAAACAAGCTGGATCCAGAATGCCATTCCACTGAAGAAAAAAAAAAAGACCTAAAAGAGCAGAAAGATGCGTTATAAAATGAATGATTAAGAGAAAGGGTAGAGAGGGAAGACATGATGAGAAACCTTGGCAGGTTTGTTTTTTTATACACTTTCTAAAGTTTAGGTGTGAGCTAGCTTGTGAAATAATCTTCAAATCAAATATGAAGAGTTCAGATGCAAAAGCCTCTAAATGCCATTTGAAATTTGAAAAATGATCATTTTTTATCAAGCTTGTATATTTAAGTTCAGTAATTTCACCTAAATGGCAATGAAGATTACCTATTAATTGTCATTTAAGTGAAATTACTGAACTTAAATATACAAGCTTGATAAAAATTGTCATTTTAGAAGAAAATTTCAAATGGCATTTAGAGGCTTTTGCATCTGAACTCTTTATATACAGTTTAGAAATGAAAGAGTTTTTAGGCAAATTTACAGTTGGTTATGAGCTGCAAATTGGTGCACATTAACATGTTTGTGCTCATTAACAGCATTAGCTACAGTTTACCATCAATAAAAGTGAATATTTACATTTCATAAAATGAAAATAATATACAGAGGCCCCAAAACCACTTGGACCCTAAAGCTTGAGGTGCTCCATTGGTTTTGCTGATGAGATCAATTATTTAACAATTATTTATAACTATACTCTACAAATTCATACTAAGTTTATTATTTAATTCATCAAAATGCTGAATACAAATTGGATTTTAGTTAAAGGAGTAGTTCACTTTCCAAAAAAACTTTTGCTGATAGTTTACTCACCACATTCGTGACTCTACTGTTCGAACTCGTTCATCAAAATGAACGAATCTTTTTCGGAATCATTTGGTTAATTCAACGAACAAAACGAACGAATTGACTCTGAAAAAGATTCGTTTACTTTAATGAACGGGTTCGAACAGGAGAGTCAAAAACAGAGCAAGGCGGGCATTTGAGCTTATAAAACTTAAACTTTGTTATTTATTTATTAAATGACCGATCGTTTCCCCTGATAAGACCCTTATTCACCGTCTGGAATCGTTTAAAGCCACTTCAACAGTTTGTAGTTTGCACTGAAACTCTCATTTGGACCTTGAACCGTTTGGTTCCTATTGAAGTCCATTATACGGAGAAAAATGCTGGAATGTTTTCATCAAAAACCTTAATTTCTTTTCGACTGAAGAAAGAAAGACATGGATATCTTGGATGACATGGGGGTGAGTAAATTATTAGCAAAAGTTTTTTCCTTTAAGACAACAGGTCAGAGCAATGCTCAATCCATCTTTTTTTGCCAATAAAATTAGTAAATCAAGTTTGACTGACACGGTTTCTCACATTTATAGCTGTTTTTGGCTAAGTTTGCTGCACAAGGAAGAGAAAAAGCTTCAGTATAGCTTTGGACTAAAATTGCAGGATGTCTCCTTAGACATATCCCAGGATTCCAGACTGTGTGGTCCCTTTCCAACTCTCCCACTGGATTTTCTCTCATCCAACTTCCTCCAGTCACTCACTACCTCTTTCAAATGTGTCTTGCCGTTAAGTCGACTATTCAACTTTAAAGACCTTGTGAAATCACTTTACTAGCTATAATATGGAGTTTCTTTTTGCACATTTTAAATTCAACTGGTCGATAACATTCTTTAATGATGCTTATTCTTATTCTTGATCAAAAATACAATCCTTTTAATGTGTTTTAAAATCTAGTTTATTCCTGTGATGCAAAGCTAAATTTTCAGCATCTTCAGTCACATGATCCTTCAGAAATCATTCTAATATCCTGATTTGGTGCTCAAGGAACATTTATTATAATTATTTATTTGAAATAAATGTGTTGTAATAATGTAAAAGTCTTTACGATAACTTATAATCAATGTAATGCCACTCTAAAACTATCAAAAGTAGTACAAAACAAGCCATGTTTCTATAATGCTGTTCTAAAAAGCAATGTGCCGGATAATTATCTAATCAAGAGCTTGACAGCCAGTGAAAAGCCTGATCACAGCTCCCGACGGAGTACAGGAAACTGTGGACAGAACGGTCTTCTCTTCACAACATCACAATAGAGCTTGAAGTTAGAAAAGAAAGAAGAAAGAGGGCGGAAGGAAGAGAGACAGAGTCTGGCTTCACTTGTTATTCTCAAACTCTTATCTCTGACAAGGCCTAACATTTCATCCCATCAGGCTCTGGAGCATCCTGAACAAAGAAAACTTGACCTCCTTAACCACTCATAGGCCACGATGATGAACTTGCACCATCTTCACCAGTGGGAATACATCAACATCAAAGCACTAAACAGGTCCAGATGAGGGTAAAGAGGCTCAATAAGTCAGACTTTCCCATATGCTCAGACCTTCATATGCAATGGGAGCCAAATATCTAAGACAGGTTTGATTTTTGTTATAAATTACAATATCAGCAAAACAATACGAGTGAAGATTGGAAATACGTGGCCTTGTCTATATTTTGAACAAAAAACTGAACGTGACAAACCCTACAAATTTGTTACATTTAAGAAAGTAGTGCAGAATATATAGCACAAATCTCAGTAAATAACCTTGCATGACTCATTTAAAAACTCTTCTCCCATAAATTTTGCATCTGAAAGGGAAAATCGAAAAAAAATGCAAATAGACTAAGCTTAAAGGAGTAATTCACTTTTAAAAAAACTTTTGCTGATTTACTCACCCCCATGTCATCCAAGATGTCCAAGTCATTCTTTCTTCAGTCGAAAAGAAATTAAAGTTTTTGATGAAAACATTCCAGGATTTTCTCCACATAATGGACTTTAATGGGAACCAAACGGTTCAAGATCCAAAAGACAGTTTCAGTGCAAACTGCAAACTGTTCAAAGGGCTTTAAACGATTTCAGACGATGAATAAGGGCATTATCATGCAAAGCGATCGCTCATTTAAAAAACAAAAAAACAAATGGTTGCCTTGCTCTGTTCTGTTTGTGACCCTCCTGTTCGAACTCGTTTATCAAAATGAATGAATCTTTTTTCGTGTCATTTGGTTCATTCAACAAACAAAATGAACGAGTTGACTCTGAGCTTATAAAACTTAAACTTTGTTATTTATTTATTAAATGAGTGATCGTTTCGCTTGATAAGACCCTTATTTATCGTCTGGAATCGTTTAAAGTCCTTTGAACAGTTTGCAGTTTGCACAGAAACTGTCTTTTGGACCTTGAACCATTTGGTTCCCATTGAAGTCCATTATATGGAGAAAAATGCTGGAATGTTTTCATCAAAAACCTTAATTTCTTTTCGACTGAAGAAAGAATGACGTGGATATCTTGGATGACATGGGGGTGAGTAAATTATCAGCAAGTTTTTTTTAAAAGTGAACTACTCCTTTAACCATGCAAAATTAACCCTGTATAGGCCTTTTCAGTGCATTTTTTTCCACTGTGCGTATTTAGTAAATCCTGACAGTAGTTTTTTAACAGCAAAAGAGGGTTTGCACTGGCATAAGCTGTTAGTAAATCTGTCCTTTGCTGTGATACTATATTTTCTAACAGCTTGTGTGGGCCGCTTGGCATTCTACATTTAGCTTCACATAACATCACAGACAAACATGAGAGGAGATCATATTCCAAACACCCTCAAGACTGCCGTCAAATTGTGAGTGGTGATAAAACATATCAAAATATGAGATGTCATCCGTACACTTCAGCTGTCTCTCCTAACGTAGAACGTTTTGGGGGAGAAGAGCGTATCTAGCTATACGATGAAAACCAGTCCTTTTCGAATGACATTACTCTCTTTCCCAAATGTCAAATGTATGCCTGCATTGTAGTAAGAGAAGTGCATGCAATACTGCCCTCTGTCTGAACTATAAAGACACTGCAAAAACAGAAAGTGAAACAGCTTGTTTGTGTGTGTGTGTGTGTGTGTTTAGTGATGATTGTTGCTGTGTTTACCCTTTCTTGTCCTGCTGTGTCCCATATCAGGAATTTGTGAAGCTCATTTTGGTACTGCACAGTCTTTGTCATAAATGATGCCCTGAAAGTAAAATGCACAGATCAATAATAATTTTAAGCATACACATAGCCTAAAGAAGCTTTTATAATAATAATAACATTTAAATGATGTATGTCATAAAAACATGAAATTCAATCAATATCACATTATAACATACATTTCATATTGAAGAACAAGTTAAGTAAAAATACAATGAATATCCATTATGGTGCAAATTTAACAAAAATTTGCTCCTCTCTAGAGTTATATTTACCATACCATACTTACCATAATGAGGTTTTGAACACTGAATGGCTTTCTGAGATAAATGTAACATTACATTGTATTTTTTAACCCAGGCCTATTTTTTGTCTATGGAAACTGTGTGTTTTGGATTCACAGTAGTTGAATTTTAGCTGCATAATTTCCAGCTATTATTTAAAATAGAAAACTTAAGTTTAGGAACTTTAGGCAACCTTTTAGCAATACTACCTTAGTTTGTAAAATGAGTGGCCTGACTGGGACAGCACAAAAATCTTTATTGTTGAGCCCTGAAATGTGTGTCAATTGAATTTAGACTTATGTAACTGAATTAAATGGGGTCACATGTTAAATCTTTAACACACTGTGATGCAACATGCATTATACAATCAATGGTGAATATTAAATCACTTAAAGGAAAGATAATCTCATCTGTATTAAGTTCAGACTTCTCAGCACCAACAGGGAAGTCCGAGATGCTGCTTAACAGATATTGTTTTCTTATTTAAGAGATTGAATTATTATTGTAACATTGTTAAAGCAAATAATCCATGACGTTTTTTTATACAATGCTTTCTGACTCTAATCCAGAGGACATTTCAACACAGTAAGTATCAATTTGTTTTGCCTGAAACATCTTCTATTTCAGGGCATGTCACGGCTTGCTGTGTTTTGCTATGTGCAAATCCTTCAAAACTTTTTTAGCAGGTTTTTTTTATTTTATTTTACAGAGCATCACAATCAGCTTGAAGGACCTCCCAGTAAGCATGTTTTGCAGTAAGCTTACCCAATTGTGGGATTAATGTTGGGATCAAAACTATCCTCCACAAACCTCCACACGATACTTGATTTTCCAACTCCTGTATCCTAGGACACAAGATAAAAATCACATATATAAATCAAACACAAACACACACATATACATTATATATACACATAATTCACTTTTGATGCAGTTTTCCATAATACAAGATACAATTAAAAATATATATATTTGTTTTTTGTCAAATGTTCTGATAATATTACATGGTTTGAATAAACTAAAACAATTATTATAATTAGAAAAATAAAACTTTTATTTGAAGTGTAGAATGCCACACTTCCAGATTCTGCTTGACGTCATGTTAACTACCCGTTTACAAATCACATGACTAAAAGGACACATTTATTGTCAATATATGAGTAAATAGGTAACAGTGCAAACATTTTCAAATGAAGTAAATACACCCTATATGCATCTACTGAACAGATTTTTTTTAACTCTCTCTAGACTTAATCATCCACTTCTGAATGGTTGGTTAAATACGTCATCATCCCACCAACGTTACTGTAATCCCCAAAGCTTGCACAATAGGTAAAACCACTGACAAACTTTATTGCAAGTTATAACATACAATAATAAAACAGTAATGATCGATCATCAAAAGAGAAACAAAAACAAAAAATATTGCACCAAAACTGCAATCTATAATAGCAACGTCGAGTCGTAAAAAGTGAATATAAATCTTACCCCAAGAAGGCATACTTTCAACTCTCTTAGCGACATGATGACCTCCAAACTAATGAAAACTTCCCAATCATTCCAAATAGTTTCATAAACCTGATAAGCAACTATTTCTATTTGACGTAACAAAAAAACACAGTCAGTCTCTATCTATACACTAGTGTCGGATATCCACTGATTTGTGACGGTATAAGAAGGCGACGTGGAATACTGACATAACGCGTAAAGCTTCTTTTAATGTGAGGACTGAGATGGTATATTAATGATCGATTAGTTGCGATATTAGCAGCTCGCTGATCGCCATCTTGAACTCCAGTTCGAGTCTAGTTCGAGTCCAGAGAAGAGTCTAGTTATGGGAAGTAATTCCCGCGAATCGGTTCTTTCGAACGGTTGGTTTCATTGAACCGTTCATAAACTGTTTTTCCAACGTAATTACGTCATAGCGTGGAAAACACAAATGTTGCACACTTAAATAAAGACAATAATAAAAAAATAAATAAAATAAAGCTTTAAATAAAGCCCTATTGGCCATATAAAGGTAAATACGGCTGTTTTTAGACGTTCTATTGTGTTTTAAGTTTTATCAGTTTTAATTTATCGTAATTACAAATAGGCTACCCAAGTTCACGACTATTTGGATGACTGTGCTTTTACACTTCAGCAACTTTACAGATTAATACCTCCATCAATGTGCCTGGGTGAATCTTAATAACATATATTTAATATTAAATATAATTTATATATACATAAATTAATCAAATCCCAGATAGCAAACTGATATTGAATCAACGTGGAAATATGACATCGAAACAACGTTGATCTGACATTGTTTTGCTCATCGAATTAACGTTGAAGCAACGTCAGACGCATCATTCTTTCAAAACTAACGGAAAATCAACTTGAAATCAACGCGTTGTTTCAACGTTATGAAAGCAAACCAATTTTCGATTTTCATTTAGCTTTGAAGAATACCGCGTCTGACGTTGGTTCAACGTTAATTCGATGAGCAAAATCAACGTTGTTTCAATGTCATGAGAGACGTTGTTTCAACGTTGATTCAATGTCAGTTTGCTGTCTGGGATACTGCCTTCATGATCATTTGAATAAAAAAACTGAGTGCCAAATCATAATGTGATTTGCCAATGAGAATAATTTAGATAAAAATTATGTTGTAATCCTGATTCAACGTTTTATAAACGAACCAGACCAGTTTTGTGAACCGATACATTATTCACTCAAAAGATCCGACTCATATGAACAGTTCATTGACGAATCGGACGTCGCTAGACTAGTCACGTGATCGACATTGTCTTATTTTTTTCTGATCGAGCGTTCGGTTGAGCGACACAAATATTTACGATATTTTCGCGGGGAAAAGAGTTTTGTTTCGATGAATTTATCCCCCTTTTTAAAGTATTTGATCTTCATATAAATGCCGGGATTGAAATAAGAGCAGGAAATCTTTTGAGGAAGTGGAGTGACAGCCCCGCTGTAAATCAAGATGGCAGGTAACGTGCTTTAGTACATTTATTTAAAGCTTTATGAGGCGGTTTAAAGAGAATCGGCCCTGTTATTGCTGTTGACTGTAATGACGCGTTATGCCTTTTGAACATTTCTGGTGTATTTTAGAACAAAGGCCATGAGCCTAGTGAAATTTTAAGTGGATTAACACTAGTTGCGAGTTGTGGAGCTAGCAGGACATACTGAGATATTATAAAAGTACTGCAATTATGAACTTTTGGCCAACAAGATAATATATGTTGTATTAAATACATAATGATGGAAAATATACCGTAATTTTAAGTTAATAGTGAAGATAACATAGCTGAGTTGACAGGAGCTTGACTGTCAGTTTGTTAGCCAACCTGACCGGGGTCGTTTCCCGGATAACACGTTTTGTTCGGTGGTCACCATTTGAAATGCATCAATAACGTGTCATAACATAAGACATGTTTGTATTTTATTGCAAACTACTGTATAAAAATTGTTTGACAGACATAGAAGCTTGGTTAACGGCTAATTTGTTGTTGTCACCTGAGTTGACATTTTAGTGAGAAAAGCTAACACTACGATAAATGCCAAGGCACTGTGTCAAAACCTAGTGAGCTGTCTACCTAAACAGCGTTTTGGGGTTTTGTGGTTGTGTTTCTGGACTAAAAAAGCCCCAAAATGCAAGTCTAGTTAGATAACTAAATAGGTGTAACACTATCATGGCTAGAAACTGTCCGTTTATCTACTGTAGACTTGTCAGTCTTTAAACATAATGTTATTCGTGTTTCCACAGGTCTGTCTTTATATTTTGAAGACGGTCATGATGATATGGATGACTGTGAGTACACAGAACTCGTCAACAACTTTACAGATAAACATCTTTCTATCAATGTGTCTAGGTGAATCTTAGAAAACCTCCCAAGAACATGTCTAGGTCATCTGTCACCCACAACCAAAATAAGAGTTTTTTTTCCCCCTTTATCAAGTCCATTTTAAAAAATTTACATTTTTGCAATTGTGACGTTATTTTCAATTAAAATTAAGCACATTTCTCCCTCAAAATCTTATTATATAGACCCAGTCATGCTTTTGAGATCTTTCCCGGACGGTTGTTGTGCACTATTTAGGTGAAGAATAGTCAGTGTGATCTTTGCTGACAGAAACAGACTGCATGTAATGAAATCCCTTTAACTGTTCTTGCTGTAAAATAAATAATTTCTCATTAAACAAATTCCCCTTTTTAAAGGTGATCTATGTAACTTTTCTTCTAAAACGATTCCTTTTGTGTGTGAAGGGGTGGAAATCACACACTACAATGATCCACTTGTCAGGTTTTGCTATTACCTCTGAAGGCCAGTATTTATTTTCAGTTTTCTGCGAAATCTATCGGATGTGACGTGCATGCGCGCTCCCGAGTCTATCTCCTTTTTATATACAGTCTATGCGACGGCACTGCAGCTGACGACAAGAGTCTGAAAACACCAAAACACTCCTGCCTCCAGCACAACACACACTCCAACACAAACGCCACATAAATATAAAAAATAAAACAAAAATTTATGTGGTGAAGCTTGTTAGGCCAACGTGAATCGGCTCGACTTGCGAAAACACGAATCAACATCAGCAGAGCGTTTGAATTATGAAGAGACCTCCGCTATTTTTTATTGTGATAAACTACAAGTTTTCAGATTTGCTGAAATAATGGTAAACTGTAATGAAATAGCAAGGTAAACTACAACATAAATGAGACATGAAATGAACACAAAAGACTGTTCCAGAATAACAAAAAGTTTTTGTTTTTAGGATGTAACTTTTATTTTATGTACTAGATCTTCTGTCTAACGTCACTCACCCACTACTATCATATTGTTTATAATACACACGTTCAGTACAGTAATGTTACTTCCTACGATCTTACTGTTACACTGAAATTGTTCAGTTTAGTTCACTAACCGTTTTCGTTATCATATTATTCATTCACCTATGTTGACATTGCTGATTGTGAAAGATACACGAATAGTTACTGAAATGCCTTATTCTAAATAAAAGTAGCCTATTATTGTAACGTTGCAGTGAGAGTTTACAGCATGTTGTGTGATGCTTTTTCTGGTGTGTTGAAAGTCTCTGTGTGTCTGTGTCCGTGTGTCGAGCACGCGCAATAGCACAAGAGCTCTTGTAAAACTTGGTTGCAGTCTGAAACATCACCGATAGAGGCCGCTAAAAAATACATATAGCACCTTTAATTAGATCTGCTGTCACTCTGTATTTTAAAGGGATTCATTTAATGTAAAAGGTCTCACATTTGATGCCACCATGAGGCTGTGCCAACAAAATGGACATTAAATTATACTTGGTCATTAACTGTCTGTATGAATCTGTCTTGCAGTTGGATTCGATGACTATGGTTCAGAGTGTGATGGGATTCGGATAACAGCATTCCTGGATTCAGGCCAGGATAATCTCACCCCTCTGGGTCGGCTGGAGAAATATGCTTTCAGTGAAAACGTTTTCAACAGGTGAGATGTCTTCAACTATGAGGCATGTTATATGAGACAGATTTCAGGGTTCTTTTTTTCCCATACCATATAAAATGTTAATTTAGGAGTAGTATAAGATGTCCCTCTTGTACCTATCACTTGAATTTAAGTGAGATTTAAAACCAAAAATACTTTTTATGGTGCAATGGTGGAAAATAACATTTTCTAGTTTTTCTATATATCCTAATCATCTGTTAACAAACATGTATTCATTACTTTAATGAGCTCATTGTTTCTGCTTTAAATTAATGCATTTTTATCTATCTTGTGGTTTGTGAATGTACATTTCTGAAATGCATTACTTTGACACAGCCACCTCTGATAACAAATCACTCTAAATTGTAAAATAGACATGCATTTTCTGTAAAGCTGCTTTGAAACAATGTGTATTTTCAAAATCGCTATATAAATAAATGTGAATTTAATTTAATTTAATTGGAAATAAAAAAAATGACAGAATTTAAATTTGTGGGTGAACAATCCATTTAAGTGCTTAAAGCGAACCTGACATGACGTTGAGCCCAAAATACTTGTAAAGAGCCAGGCATGTCATTGTAAAACAACTTGGCTTAGACTTGAAAATGCTATTAACATTATTCTAGGATTCAAAATTGAGCGGTTTTATTTTTTTATTTTTTCAAATAGTTTTGTGCTTATAAATTGTGAAGGCTCATGCCATGTGGGCTATTGTGGTACACTTGATAGCATGAATTTTCAGACATTTATCATTTATTTTCAGGCAAATTGTGGCTCGTGGATTGCTGGATGTGCTCCGGGAGTTCAGTGATAATGAAAATGACTTCATCAGCGTCATGGAAACGGTTGCCAGGATGTCTGAGGATGGAGGTTTGTATGGCTTCTACCCGCTGTAAAAAAAAGTTGCTGCCTTAAATTTGTATGTACAATCAACTTGGATGTTTACGTCATTTCAACTTTAATTACAATAATCTGACTTATAGGTTATTAAAACATGTTGACAATTGCTAAACTTATTTTGATTCATTAAAGCAATGTAAAAACAAATGACTTATTGATCATAGCATTTTTACAGTGTAGTAATACATATTTAATATCATAAAAATATTGTGATCTTGCAGAACCGACAGTGCGGGCAGAATTGATGGAGCAGGTACCAAACATTGCCATGTTCCTCCATGAAAATCGGCCCAATTTCCCAGAAGCCTTCTCACGGTACCTTGTTCCCATTGTGGTCCGGTATCTCACAGACCCTAATAACCAGGTAAGTTTCACTCGAAAAACTGGCTGTTCTTTGAGTTGTTCTTCTGAATAGAAGTGAGGTTGACAAACATCATGGCTTTTGAGTAGGAGTGCTTCTGATAACAGCTAGTAAGCAATATTCCCATTACTATGCTTAATTTGCAGGCTTCCATTTTTTAATGAAGACTTTGATAATTGTGTTGTATTTGTTAAATATCTGTTATTTTCATATTAAAGGGTGTTGTTTGTTTAGGAATGGATCTGAATAGTATTGGAAAAAAGCCTAAAGCCTTATTATTCAGGGATTCCTTAACACTAACTAATCGATTAGTCATTTAAGTCGGTTTTGTCTGCTTTCCCCTTAGGTGCGAAAGACGAGCCAGGCCGCTTTGCTGGTGCTACTTGAACAGGGTCTGATGAGTAAGGCAGATATGGAGGGAAAGGTTTGCCCTGTGCTTCTCGAGCTCACTGAACCCAGTAGTGACGACGATTATAAGATCGAGGCTGTAGCGGTGAGTCCTTTGTGTCAAAGATAATGCCACACTGATTACTGGCAGTGGATCATACTCATCGTAAAAATATGTAAACCATGGGCTTTCATAGGATTGAAGAGATTATATTTCCTGTCGTAACTTCATTCCTTCTGTGATGGAATGCGTATCTGTGTACTGTCTGCATGATACTGTTTCTGTGCTAATTGTTTTATGGGGTTTGGTTGAACTTTCATGTTTTGAGCTGGATGGTGGGTAATGTTTTGTTGCAGATAATGTGCAAGTTGGTGACCATGTTGACTAAAGATACCGTGGAACACCTTTTATTGCTGCGCTTTTGTGATCTCTGCTGTGACGTCAGACTATTTCAAGTCCGCAAGGTAATACTCTTAAAATGTTCCTTAATTCTTTAAAGAACTGTTTTATGAGATTATGAGTCTTTGCAATAATTTAGTTAAATTATAAAGAACAAAATATAATCGATTACAATTGATATGCAGAAGTCTATGTAAGTGTTTGTCATTCTGTGATTTGTTAAATGCTAGTGGAACAGGTTTTGAGTGTGTATGTCTGTGAACTTCATATGTCACACATACACTTATAATCACCTTGAGATCAAAAGTAAATGCATATATATATATATATATAAGGCTGCATATATTTGATCTAAAGTACAGTAAAATTGTGAAAAATTACAATTTAAAAGAAGTGTTTTCTATTTTAATGAAAGCTGAATTTTCAGCATCATTACTCCAGTCTTCAGTCACATGATCCTTCAGAAATTATTCTAATATGCGGATTTGCTGATCAAGAAACATTTATTTTTATTATCAATGTTAAAATCAGTTATGCTGCTTAATATTATTGTGGAAACTGTAATATATTTTTATTTGAGGATTCTTTGACTAGAAAGTTCAAAAGTATCTTTTTTCAACATTATAAATGTCTTTACTTTCACTTTTTTATTATCAATTTAATGCATCATTGCTGAATGAAAGTATTAATTTATTTCAAAAAAGAAGTCTTACTGACTCAATCTTTTGAATGGTAGTTAGTTTATCTAAGGTCAGTATATTTCTTGTTTACAAAAGTGTGGAAATTCCAAGTCCATGCATGATTATATCAGTGTCATGAGACGAACAAGTAACAATCCTGAGAACACAATGGATAGAAATAGCTTCTATGAACAATAAAGTTGTACTCTGGAAAAAATATAGCTGCTTAATGTTGAATGTTTTTGTGACTTCTGTCTTTCAAATAACTGCAGTTATGAAGCTTGAAGAAAAGGTTGTGAAAAATGTTAATCTACTTTTGAAACCCTTGCTGGGTTGGCAGAAAGCAATGCTATTTGAGTTGCAGCAGGCTTCTGCTTACAACATAACAGAAGACTGAATTTGACCTCATTGCAAATGTCTAAAACCTCTGTCTCTATTTTTTTTTTCCCCCTCACCACCAGGTCTGTGCCGCAAACTTCGGCGAGTTCTGTTCTATTGTTGGCCAGGAAGCCACAGAGAAACTACTGGTGAGACCTCTGCAGCTTTCCTTTTGTGCTTGTATTTAGCACAATATTGCAGTCACAGTGGGCCAAAATTAATATGTTAATTATGTCTGAGTGCTAGACCCAAAAATATCCTTTTTGGGTCTATATGTTGAACTTTGTTTACGTGACAAATGTGTTAATCGGCACTATCTCTTTGTTCTGCCTTTAGATGCCGAAGTTTTTCGACCTTTGCTCGGACAGTCTGTGGGGTATCCGGAAAGCCTGTGCAGAGTGCTTCATGGTTGTTTCAAATTGCACTTCTCCAGAAGTGCGACGCACTAAATTGTCCCCCTTGTTCATCAACCTCATTAGTGATCAGTCACGCTGGGTAAGAGCACACACACCACACTGTTTTCTAACATGCTGTGACTCAGCATCTAATTTCTGTCCTCTCTGAAAGTAAACATGGTTATTTGATGTTTAGTATGCAGCTATGCGGAGTAGGACTTTAAACCTGTGAGATTTCGGACTTTCTGTTTTCCACTTATGTACACAATCTTTATTACGTTTTTGAAAATAGATCTGGACAAAGAGGTATGGAGAGTGGATGGATCTGTTTTTTTATAGGGAAGGGAACTTCTCTCCTTTTTTCCTTTTCAGGTACGCCAGGCTGCGTTCCAGTCTCTAGGTCGTTTCATCTCCACGTTTGCCAACCCTTCTATCACAGGATTGCATTTCTGTGAGGATGGAACCCTCTGCGAGATCCCGAAGATCTCCTCGGAGAGGTAAGCACACATGGTTTCTTCGCTATGGTAGTGTTTGTTGGGAAAGCAACATAGGTTTGTTATTAACTAGTTGTTGTAGTTTATTATCAATCCACTTAACTGGGAGGTCTGTATAATTAGGCTTGTATTTGGTTCACCTGAACCCTATTGGACTGTTTCCTAGTTGCATTAAATAGTTACATAATGTTCAAAAGGTAAAGGACAGTGTTATTTTTTTTTTTAAGAAAAAATTATACTTTTATTCAGCTAGCTTGCATTAAATTAGTGACAGTGAAGATTTACATGGTTACAAACAAAATAAAAAATCCAATCATAAGCAGCACAACAATTTCCAGATTTTACAGGTAAAAATTAGAAATGTTTCTTGAGCAGCAAATTAGCATATTAGAATAATTTCTGAACGATCATGTGACAAATTCAGCTTTGCATCACAGGAATAAATGACATTTTGCAGTATATTCAAATTGAAAACTGTTATTTTAAATTGTAAATATTTCACTATGTTACAGTTTTTACTGTATTTTTCATCATATAAATGCAGCCTAGATGAGAATAAGACAAAAAAATTTTTTTTAAACATCTTACCATCCTTCTGACCCCATTTACACCTGGTATTAAAATGCGATCTGTATCCAGATAAGTTATCCGGATAATATAAAACGCATGTTAATGCAAGGTGTAAATGCGTTGTGATCGGATCGTGATCGGATCTGCCTGACCACATCTGGAGGTAGTCTGGCTCGCATTGTGTCCGGATCTTTACTAGGTGTAAACGCAATCTGGTTGTTGAAACCACATATGTATATTTTACTCCTCCCAAAAATGCTAAAAAATAAACGAGTGAGAGCGTGTTATAGGCTATATGTCATGTTATAGCCTAGTCAGATGCGACACGCATCACCGCAGATGAGCAGCTGAGCGTCTATTCAACGTGCAAACATCGCAAATAAAAGTGAAAGTAAGTCACAGACGCAGTTAACACATCTTCAAGTAAAGAAACGAAATTATCTTACCAGGCCTGTTGCCACTCTCTCTTATTGATGTCTCTGATTTGGAAATTAGCTGATGATCAATAAAATGCCGCTCAGATCTGTTGCTTTTGGTGGCGTGCAATCCATTAAATCTGCATATAACGCAGGAGGTGAAGATCGGATTTATATCCGTTTTGAAAAAACACATTTATGTGGCCAGGTGTAAATGGAATCGGTACTTATTATCCGGATAACTTATCTGAAAACAGATCGCATTTTAATACCAGGTGTAAATGGGGTCTCTGAGTCACTTTCCATATTGAAATCATGTGTTTACAAAAGAAAATGACTGAATGAATTCTGAATGAACCCCTCTTGTCTTTGTAGCCACAGACAGGAAGTGACCACCAGCAATTCGAGTAACATCCGCAATGCCTCCATTCATGATTGTTCAGACAGTCTCATTCAGCCCCGTTCAGAGCAGCTACAATCCACCTCAGACACAGCGGTTCCACCGTCACGTCCTCCAGAAGGCCACTCTTACAGCACCAGCAAGAACCAGCCTGAATGCTCAACCCCTTCGTCCCACCAGAAGATGGACGACTGCACAATGTTCAACTCATTCAACTTCTGGAGACCCCCACTACCTGACATTACTCAAGAACTGCGGCTACTACAAGGAGAGAAAAGAGATGTGGTGATAGAAAAAGAAGAGACCGTGAGAGGGGGGAACGACAACGTGCCAAGTTTAGATGCACAAGGCCCAGCCACCAGCTCCCAAATCCAGAAAGTTTTGGACTGTCTTCAGCCCCACCTAGATGATCCTGATGTTCAAGGTGATTGTGAAAAGAGCTCATGTTCTTTTGCTCTTTTCCTAGTAGGGAATTGTGGTTATTCATTCCCCCGTTTGCTTTTCACTCGCAGCTCAAGTGAAAGTGTTGTCCGCTGCGCTGAAAGCTGCTCAGTTAGAGAGTCAAACAGAAGATGCTGATGAGTCTGTGTCGGAGAGTAATGGTTCCACGGGCTCACCGACGTCTGATGAGCTCAGTGCCATGAGTGAACTCTCCCTGACAGACACACAGATCTCAGACTCTCCCTCCACTTCACCTGTGCTGGTAGATGACTCTGAACACAGCAGTGAGGTGAGATGAGAGGACAACTTCATAGTTGATAAATGAAAAGAAAAGAAATTTTTAGCCACCAACAAGTATAACATTTTATTTATATTTTAACATTTAAAGTAGGGCTGTGCAAAAATTAATTGCGATTAATCGCATCCAAAATAAAAGTTTGTTATTCATATATAAAATATTTATATTTATATATAATATAGATTATGTATATATGAAGAGTTCAGATGCAAAAGCCTCTAAATGCCATTTGAAAGTTTCTTCTAGAATGGTCATTTTTATCAAGCTTGTATATTTAAGTTCAGTAATTTCACTTAAATGGCAATGAAGATTACCTATTAATTGCCATTTAAGTGAAATTACTGAACTTAAATATACAAGCTTGATAAAAATGACCATTCTAGAAGAAAATTTCAAATGGCACTTAGAGGCTTTTGCATCTGAACTCTTCATATATACATAATCTATATTATATATAAATATAAATATTTTATATATATATATATATATATATATACAGTATTTACATGCAAATAATTCTTAAATAAATGCATGTATGCATATGTATTTATATATACACAATAATTATAAACAGTACACACACATATTATGTAAACACAAACTTTTATTTTGGATGCGATTAATCACGATTAATCTTTGCACTGCCCTAATTTAAAGTGGTATTACATTTAATTAATGTTATAATATTTTAAATCTTTTTTTAAATGTTGGCATTATAATTTATATATTTTGTAATAATAATAATAATGTAGGTTCATGTAATTTTATTAAAATACTCAGTTACATTTTATTGTAAGGTGTTCTTGTTTCAGTGAAATTATACATTTATTAACTGCATGTACTTTAGCGCTAGGATTAGGGTTTTGTTTAGAGTTAATTGCATGTAATTATGCATCATTTATAGTTATTACTATAGTAGCTACATGTAACATTTAACAAGGACACTATAAAATAACGTTACCAAATATTTAATCTTCAGACAGTCATATTATTAATAATAAATAAATGATTATTACATACTTCAAACATTTAATGTTTTTTTTTTAAATGTTACAGTTATAATTTTTTATTTTACATGAAGAATAATTATTATTAATATTGTTAAAACTGTCCATAGATTCATTTTAATTCAATTAATTGTATATAAATATTTCCTGAGTAAAGACTTCAAATGAAAAATCTACATTTAGGCAGGAAAATACCAATAATCCATGTAATCTTGTCAATTAATATGAGGTCATTACAATTATCAAAGGAGCATAATGTTGTTTTAAAAGGTTTTGATGCTGCTTCCACTGTTTGACATGGCATGGCAAAACCCCTTTTGCAGTTTTATGTAAATCGGTTTTAGCAAATGTCATTAGAAGGAAGTGCTGGCACAGTAACTGCAGTACGTGCATTTGTGTGTGTGCATACAGGAATCAGACCTAATAGAAAATGTGGAGGACACCAACTCACAAGTTAAAACATGCGAAGAGGAGAAGTCTAAAGTCCAGGTAATGTACTGCTCAGTAAATACTTGCACGTTTTACCATATAAAATCTCATGGCTTTACATTGGCATTAATTGTCAACTAGTTCTACAAATTGCAATCATTGATGAAAAGCACATCAAATGTACAAAGAAACTCTTTTTGTGAATAAACAATGAAAATCTGACTGATCGAACTGATTTTCCTAACACTTGTTTTTTCTGTGGTCACAGAATGTAATTCCACAGCAGTTGCTGGATCAGTATCTGTCCATGACAGACCCCGCTCGAGCTCAGACCGTAGACACTGAGATCGCCAAACACTGTGCGTTCAGCCTGCCAGGTGTCGCCCTAACGCTGGGCAGACAGAACTGGCACTGCCTCAAAGACACCTACGAGACCCTCGCTACAGACGTACAGGTAAAACTTCCTCTTTATGCATTACTCGTCATATTTTATTGGAAAATCAAGGTTTAACAAAACTCTCAAAATGCTAAATGTTAGAACAGTACTGTTGCTTAACCTTATATATTGAAAAAATAAAAAATATATATGTTATATTATAAACTATATATATATATATATATATATATATTTACTTATTATTAATTAAACAATATTTTCACTGTACCATACTCTGATGGTTATAATTGTCTTTGTTTTGTGATTATGTAACGTTTGAGGTGTGTGCACAGTAGCTTCGGTACTGTGAATGTGTTTTGCATTTGTCAAATGAATTAACTTTGTATGTGTTACAGTGGAAGGTGCGACGGACACTTGCATTCTCTATCCACGAGTTGGCAGTGATCCTGGGGGATCAGCTGACCGCGGCTGACCTGGTGCCCATATTTAATGGCTTCCTCAAAGATCTTGATGAGGTGCGAATAGGAGTCCTCAAACACCTGTATGATTTCTTGAAGGTGAGAATATGAAATTTCATGAACTGAGAAAATGTGGTTTATTCAAAGAGCTTTGAATTGTCCATACTGGAAAAAAATGTTTGTTTGAGAATTTGTGCATTTCTTTCATGCTTTTTTAGCTCCTCCCCCCCCCAAAGTTATACATTTTGTTAGCGTTTGCTGATTTGTTAAATGCATTTCAAAAAAGTTAAATTTAAAATTTTTCAAGCATGCCATGGCTTCCCAACCAGTGTTATTTTAGTATTTTTTAGTTAGTTTTTATTAATATTTTCAATTGGCTTTCTATTTCTTTATGGATTTAATACATTTTTATTTCATTTTACTTTTATGAATTTAGCACTTCAACTTAAATGTATTATTTGAGTTATTTTCCAAGGCAATATTTCTCATCTTTGTTTGATTACAATTTTATTTCAGCGTTATATTTCAGCAACATTCAATAGTTTTTGTTTTAGTCAACAACAGTGGCATCAACAGATCGTTCTGTTTTGTCTTTTGTAGCTTCTTCATGCCGAGAAGCGTCGGGAGTATCTGTATCAGCTGCAGGAGTTCATGGTGACGGACAACAGCCGAAACTGGAGATTCCGCTATGAGCTAGCTGAGTGCGTACTACTTGGTTACACAAAGGGTTGTTTGAAGCTCTCATTTGTGATCTCACTCTTGTGGCATTTGTCTGTCTGTGTATTTAGGCAGCTTATCCTGATCATCGAGTTGTACAGTCACAACGACATCTATGACTACCTCAGACAAATTGCACTTAACCTTTGCTCTGACAAAGTGTCTGAAGTGCGGTGGATCTCCTATAAACTGGTGAGTCAAGTTTCCTTCAGCTTGTTTCCAAAAATAGTGCAACATTACAATGCCTTATACTAGCTGTATTGTTTGAATTTGTGTTCTGCTTTTAGCAACTCCACTGGACTCTTTTAACCTCAAGTTTATAGGCTTTTTAGACCTGGTATTAACATCTGTCTTGGCTTATCTAGTGCTTCAAACTTTTAAAGAGGACTTATTATGCCTTTTACATTTTCAACTTTCTTTAGTGTGTGATGCTGTTTTAGCATGAAAAAGGTCTGCAAAGTTACCACTCCAAAAGAAGTTAAAGTATTCTCTATATCAGTGTGCACTGTTGAACTCCCTAAAAGCCTCAATTGTAGTTTTAAGTGTCCTTCTGGGAATGTACACTTCACAATATCCCTCATTTCCACTAAGATAAGATAATTTCCACAAAGGTATGTACAAAAAAAGGGACGAGGCCTGGTTGAGTTGCGATAGTAGTATAAACTTGCTATTATGTGAAAGGCAGTGACCTTTCCGAAACAAGTGCGAAGTGGTTGACCAATCACAACCCACTGGTCCAGCGACCAATTAGAGCACAGTGATTTTCAGAAGGAGGGGTTTCACAGAAATTGGAACTAAACAGAGCATTACTGACAGACTGGGAAGAGAGGTGTTGCAACAATCTCATATGTAAAAAAATTATGTTTTTGTGTTTTTACATTTCAAGCATGAAAACCTATTCTGGTATTCTTTAAGATTTGTCTTATGAATGTGTTTAGGTGGTGGTGATCCTGCAGAAGTTGTATTCCTGTGAAGCTCATGATCTGGGTCTGAATTACATTAATGAGCTCATTATGAGATTCTGCCACTGTCCCAAATGGGTCGGACGTCAGGCATTTGCATTCATTTGCCAGGTACATTTTACATCAAATTGGAGTTTCATGTTGTATTATCCAAAGGATTTACAGTCCCACCATCTTTATATATATTCATGTGGTCCTGCAATATTTCTTAACGTCTTTTATTGTCATATTGCTGTTAATTTCAATTTTGCATAGAATAAGTTATTTTCATGACATTGTGGGATGAATACATTTGAAATCAAGATACCAAAATAATAGACTAGTGTTAGTCAACCAATCAGAATGAAGCTAATGACATTTTTATTTATTTATTTGAATAAACATGCACTCTTTTTTTGTATAATATACATCAGGCAAAATCTAAACCTTTAAGAATGTGGGAAAGCGATTTAGGCATTTCCTTTGTTTCCATTCAGGCAATAGTGGAGGAGGACTGCATGCCCATGGACCAGTTTGCACAGCACCTTCTTCCCAGTCTGCTCAGCCTCTCATCAGATCCTGTGCCCAACGTGCGTGTGCTGGTGGCCAAGGCGTTACGGCAGAGCGTGTTGGAAAAACGTAAGACACAAACGCACACAATTTACAGACAAGTTAGAAGCGTGCATCACAGGATGTTTACATAGACTTGCGTCTCTTTTATTAGGCCCTCCAAGGGTTACAATGGGCTTTATGCCCAGCTGCACTACTTCCTGAACTTCAGCCAGCTCCTTGTTTCCTGTCTGCCATTATTGGTCAAATTGATTAATTCAGGTGTACCTGACCTCAGTAGTCATGGCAACAATAATCAGACACACCTGAATTAATCAATTTGGCCAATAATGGCAGACAGGAAACAAGGAGCTGGCTGAAGTTCAGGAAGTAGTGCAGCTGGGCATAAAGCCCATTAAACTCAAAGTTACTCTCTTTTGTCTGCCTGGAAAATGGAACAAAAATATTAACGAGTAATATCCTGTATGAAGTGTATACTTATTTTTGTCCAATGAAATGCTTTCTAGAATTTTAATGTTCAAAGTACAAGACGTAAGATGTCAAGTGTCCTTTTCCAGGCAGTGATATAAAATCCATTGACATTGTTTTTTTTTTTTGGTTTTTATTTAGTTTTATATTTTTAATTTATTTGAACCTTTTAGGCTAGTGACCGTTTAACTAATTATCTGTGACCTAAGTAAAATAGTGACCTATTATTAGCACAAAAGATCAAATATTTTGCTAAGTAACTGTTCACAAGCTGTGTTTCCATTACCCATCAAATTGCACAAATTGCGAATACACCCAATGAAAACACGTCAGTTTCACAAAAACTCGCATATTTCGTGAACATTTTTTTAGCACTCGCATGAGGGGTTTTTCAGGCAATTCGACAAAAGGAATATTTAGCAAAACTGCAATGGAAAATTACAGGTCACCTGGTGTACATAAATGTCAATCATTCTTCAAAGATGGCGTGGTTTCATTGGACAGAAGACGAAAAAGAGTTCTTTATTAAACTCATAAAAGACAAAAGATTTATGGGAATCCTGGGTTTTAAACCACAAAGAAATGCCACAATTTATCAAGACCTCGAAGTAGAAACACCTCACAGTATAAGGGGCGTTCCTTGCCATTAAAGCTTGAATAACATGCCTACGTCTCCTTCGATTAAAAGTAATGGGAACTACGGTGGCTGCGATATATGTAAACCTACCAATATCCATTGTTATGATTTTTGTAAAAACATATCGTGAGAGGAAAAAAAAAAAAATGTACTCGCATAACATTGTTTAATGTGAACACCGTCATTTCATATTCGTTTTTTTATCGGCATTTAGAAAATATCGCAAAATTGCGCAAATCTGTAATGGAAACCCGGCTACAGTTTAGGCATCAGTTCTGATCGCCATCTATGTGTGTGTGTGTGCTCTGATCTCAGCGTACTTCAAGGACCCAGGCAGCGCTTATTCGGATGAGCTGGAAGAGGCTCTCTCCGAACTGAGGATGGACAAGGACAGGGACGTGCGGTTCTTTGCCACACTGGATCCCAACAGGAACGTCATGGACACAGCAGCGCTCATTTAGCACCTTTAGCCCAATCCGCACATGTGAACAAGCACCAGCAGGAAAAACACTAAACGGATTTGCGGACAAGTGTTTACAAATAGGAACTACTGACCAAGACCTTCACACACATACACACACACACACACAATTTATCCTTATCCTCTCTTAAAATGCTCCACATATGACAGTATATGCATATATTATGCATTTTCTGATTTATTCACAAAATGGGCCTCATTTATACATAAAAATCGACTCATGTGTAGCTAAATTTAAAATTGGATACTTAAAATATGCAAATGCATGCATATTTATGGTAATACAACGTGCAAAAATATTTTCCACAGGGGTTTTTGCCATTTAGATGGTTAAATTGGGAGATTGCCTCGTCAAGCAATTAAACTTTTCATACATGAGGCCCACGCAATCTCTCACTTACACATCCTCACTTTAAGCCGCTTCCTTCAGCACCCACACACACAAACACACCTTCAAACAACCATCTCACCTCTCTGAATGGTGCAAGATATCTTTTGCACCTTTGTGTGCGGTATTCGGAGACACAAGACGCATCTTAAAGGCGGATCGTGTCGTTTCTTCTCAAAACCGTTCAGATGCTACCAGCTGCCGCTCCAAAGCTAACTGTACATTTTTTTCCCCTCCATTTCCTTCTCTTGTGGATTTCTTAATACAAAAAGGACTAAGAAGACATAAGCAGACTGACAGTGAAGTGCTACTAACTCAGGGAGACCTGATATTCAGATTTTTTTAAAGCTGCAATGGTATCGAGCTGAGGCTGAGTGAAACTGCTGCATTTTCCAACCACCTGACCCTGCATTGTTGTGGGAAACAGCAAACAAGCGTCATCTCGAGTTATCGCAGCTCGGGAGACGAAAACCTCCCTCTTTTTGCTCGAACCTTTTTTAGCTCACAAGGATTTGCTTTTGTCGTTCAGTACTGATGTTTTAATGTACACGTTTTTCTGTGTGTTTTGAGTGAGATCCAGTTGTATGTCCCTGATTGGTGAAGAGCTGGTTTTATACCTCGCCGTTTTATAAATGAAAGGGGCCAGTATTTTAAAGGGGTGTCAGGAGTAAACCAATGCTTTCCAAGCAACTTTTGCATCCACTTGATGACATTTAGACACTGTACAAGCAAAATTGTTAGACGTGCCCAGTCTTTAGAATTCTAGTAAGACATCAGTGATGGTTATTGGTTAATTATGAGCTGACCTGCAGAGGGCGCTGCTTGGTTGTCTGTGGAAAACAATGAAGCAAGCACACTGTTTAGTCGCATTTGCACAAGTTTATCAAAGCACTCCACAGCTCCTCTGACGATTCCCAAATTTGCTTTAAAGTAAATAAGCTACTACGTGCTCCAAGATGATATGACGGATCATCGGTTTCATGGTTGTAGTGCTCTTGGCATGGGCGTACTTGCTTCTGGCTGCTGATCGGTTATTGCGACTGTATTAATGGTTTATATATTTAAATTGGGGGACCGGACCCACATCAGCACGTGAGGGCAAACTTAGCCAAGAGCACTTTACTAATCATTAAGGGTTCAATGGAAAGTAAATTGCGGGCCCTTTTTTAATATATAAATAATAATAAATCTGATGAATCATGACGTATCGTATCAGTGGTTCTGATTTTTTTTTTTTATAAGGCAACTTCCTTGACCAAACTCAAGTGGTGCTCGGATCCAGTGCATTTATTCTCACAGATGTGTATATGGAATATGTTTATGGACCGTGTATATGGAATTGTTTTGTTTGTTTTTTTTTTTAAAAAAAGAAAAAGGATTAGTCTAGTTCTGAAATACAGCCTGTGATTTAAATTGATATGATTTTATTGACTATATCTACAGGATTCAAGGCCAGTCTTTCTTTCTTTTTTTTCCTGTGGCGATACTTGGTTTGGAATTGTATAATGGGCAAAGTTGTTTTCCTTGTGTTCCCATGTGTGTTTGTGTGCATGCATCTGTGTGTCCTTTTTGTTTGTTTGTTTCTTTTTTTTCTTATGCACCATGTTGATAGATTTCTATTTTGTTAGATTGTTATATTTTCCCCAATAAATTCTCCTGTTTGATTTACTGAGGCACTGACATCACTGATATGTCAACGAAACCACTTCATGTGTCTGCATACTGCATATGTACTGATCCACTAGTTTTCTCATATTGTTACAATATTAAGATTCAAGATTTGATTTATTTCCCCCTTATTGTATACTTCTCAATGTATCATGTTCAAAGATTTTATATCCTAACCTTTCAGGTTACAACATTTGTAATTTTTCTGTGCATCTCTTTTAAAAACAGTTTATGTATTGTTATTTTTAGTATTCGTTAATTAAAATAATATAAATTTGAAATCATTTTCTCAGTTGTGCCCTTTATTTTAAAGACATTTCAGTTAAAACTCACCAAGTCGATTGACTCAAATCAACATATTTCCAATGCAATTACAAAAGTCTTATAATTAGATTACATTTAATATTGTTTTAACTAGAGCAAAACATCATAACATAACTCTACCCTTAAAACTGTCTCAGTTTTAAGTCTGGATGTCCTGTAAAGTGCACATTCAGATACCAAATGTTTGAAGGTTTCACCATGACAACAGCTTCTCCTTGGTCTTTAAAAAATGGCTGACATTAATTTAGTGATCAAATTTAGCACTCTTATGGAAATATGATAATATTTTGTTGTTATTTAAATCAGACACTTTTTTTAAATAGTTTGTCATAAATCAACATCTCAGGAAAATGATATGGGTTACAAATAAATGTATGAATTTCTGTTACAAAACACTGTAGTGGACACCACTACTTAAATCATGTTTATCAGGCATTTTGAGAGACACAAGAAGTGAATTGGGAAATAAAATATCTATCAATATTCCTATGAAATATTAGACAAAAAAATGATTACTCTCATTATTACACTTCTTTTTTAGTTACATGTTGCCCCTTGAACACATTAATATGCAAATTACATAAAGTGTACAAATACATTGTATTGAATGGGAATGACATTTATGGCCAAGTAAAATGGTAAATCAATTTATTCTGTTAAATCATCATTCCCGGTACACAACGTTTGGTTTTAAAAAATCCTAAAACTTAACTAATTGGTGAATAAAACAAATCTCATTGTTTTTGCCTATACATGTCATTTCTCCACTACTATGGACATTGCATAACACTTGGATAAAATATTATTTATTTATTTACCCATTTCATTCATATATAATATACATTTCAATTTTAAGTATATATTCAAATTAAACGTTTATATTTCTATCCCATTCCTTGCTCCTTGCATCACATAAAATCAATATTTTCGTTCACAGGACTTTTGTTGTGTAGAAGAGAAATGTTTTACTTCCGGTTAACCTTTTCCGGTCCTCTTTCCTGCCTCCCGTCAAGATGGTGAGACTTTAGTTTTCGCGAATGATCCGTGAATGTGGTTTAGTATATGAAATCTCCTTTATATATTCAAGAAAACTACGTTATCAACGAGTATAGTTGGTAACGTACCTGATTTGATGAAAGACTGGCCACTATATGGGGATTATTAAACGGTTTAAGTAAGAAGTTTTTGATGATGTTTAGCATGTGCCTTCCTCTTCAATAGCACGCGGCACGGACAGGGCTGGTATTGTGTGTATCTATGTATATAAAGCAAAATACTGGCACTTAATATAAACGGCATTATTGTCATTAAGACTTCTAATTGTTATTGTCGATATGTTGCATATATATAGCAAGACGCTGCAGCCTGTCAGTTGGGTGTAAATTGAAGATTGATGCTGATGAATCCAGGACAGGCTTTCTAGGCTAACATAAAATAAAGAGTAGATTTACACTTGGATAATTTAGTATAGGAGGATAATTTTCCAAGAATTAATTTTGATTGTTGCAAAAAGATCTCCACTGTTCTTTGGAAATATACAAATCAAATCCCATAATGGAAACCCATCAGGAAATGGAAATTTTCACATATAGAAAATTTAAGTTTTAAAGTAAAATATTAAACAATTTTTTTGGTCTGTTTGTGGTTAATGTTGTAATGGAAATCCTGAGAATTTTATTTGGAAATTTGAAACATTTCCTGATATTTCAAAGATTTCCAATTCTATCAGAACCAAGTACAGATCTCAAATTTTGAGTTGGAAATAATTTGAATTTTAAAGAGTCCGCTCATCAATTATGGGTCTCATCGACTCCCAGTTTCATTTCCAATTTGGTATTAAAAAATTAAAGTCAAAACATGTTTATTCTGTGTTTTGCAACTGAGCACCATGAACAAAACATAAGCCTAAAGAACAACTAATAAACTAGACTAATTTTAATTTCAAAATGTCTTATTAAAGACAAGTACACAGCCAGTAATAGAATAACAAATAAGCAATAGCACAGATAAATACTGAAGAACAAAGTTCAGAAATTGAAATCAAATGTAAAATAACACTGCATCGTTTTCTTTTTATAAATAAAATATAGATTAACCCTTATTCAAGTAAAAAAAGTTATCAGTGAGTGATTTTTCTTTGTTCTTTGATTAATGGTAACACGAAAAGTAGCAGTTTTATTAAGCTGCTGTCACTTTAAGACAATGCGTTTTCTTTCTTCATCCGTTGACATTTTCTTCTGGCTGTCTTTGCGAGGATATTTTGAAACAATTTTGTGTCTATTAAAGCTCAAGAAGACATGAAAGAGTCCTCGATTCAGTTTTTGTGCACTATATGAGAGGCGGCTTCTATGTACGCGCTCTGAATGTGCCCAGTACAGAAAACAGTGTGCGAGTGCCGAATTTCGCATCATCTTTCACTTGATTTATTTAAAGCCCCATTAAAATGCGGAATCAAAATTTTATAACAAGTATCAGATCCCAGATTTGGAATTGGTTTTCAAGTCCCAACCCAACTTGTGAATGTGTATATATATATATATATATATATATGTATGTGTGTGTGTGTGTGTATAGAGAAAGGGCAAAGTAGAATTTTTATAAAATTTAAATTGCTTGAGCTTAAAATACATGGTTATTTATTTGTCAGAAAATGTAGGATGTTTGATTGAATTATGTTCTATACTATTTTAATAATCAATTATTTTCATTTTCAAATGCCAGACTAAGAAGAGAAGGAACAACGGACGTGCAAAGAAGGGCCGTGGCCATGTCCAGCCCATCCGCTGCACCAACTGTGCCCGCTGTGTTCCCAAGGACAAGGCCATCAAGAAGTTTGTCATCAGGAACATTGTGGAGGCTGCTGCTGTGAGGGACATCTCAGAAGCTAGTGTGTTTGACTGTAAGTGACTGCTTTAACAAGCAAAACATTGACCAATTCTCATTAGTATGCCTTTCCAGATTAAAATAGTGGTTTACTGTTTTCCGCTCTTCCTTTTTTAGCATATGTATTGCCCAAGCTCTACGTGAAGCTGCATTACTGTGTTAGCTGTGCCATCCACAGCAAGGTGGTGAGAAACAGATCCCGGGAGGCCCGCAAGGACCGAACACCACCTCCCCGCTTCAGGCCTGGCGTAAGTGCCTTGAAATTCTGTTATTATTCCTTTAAAGGTAGGGTAGGCAATTCCAGAGAGGCTAGCAATAGTGAGCTAGCTTTAGAATCATAATACTCCAGCCTCCCTTCAGAGCGTCTCCAAAGCGACACCTCCTTCAAAACACATGAACACACACACCAGAATCTGCGAGGTGTCACGAGACGAGAGAATCCGTTAAATGACCTCATTACAACATGGCGTGAATGCAGCATAAGCTTGTTTTGGTTCAAGAGGAACTGTAAAGTATGTAAGGTGCCTGCTGTTTCATTGTGACACTCGGTGACTCTAGACCATTGATTGAATAAATATTATTGGTTCTGAGACTCCCACAGAAGACATCTTTTAATATTTAGACCACTTTTATTGTTGATTGCTATCAGGATGTGAAGAGACACAAATTGCCTACCCTACCTTTAAGTTAAAGTAACAGCTACAGGATGTTTGTAAAGTTACAATGCTTGTATTGTTGTTACTTTTATGTGGATCTCAGCATTTTCTTTTGTCCTTTTGTCCTGCAGGGTGCTCCTCCCAGAGCTCCACCGAAGCCCATGTGAAGCAAATCAACTGTCACGTTCTGAGCATTGTTTTGCAGAAAAATAAACAATATCTGAGACAGGTCCTATGGTTTCTTTGTTTTGATTTTTGCTGCACAGTGTGTTTGAAGCTCTAAATCCATCATTTTTCTCTCATAGTCATATCTTAATTTTTTTTGTTCTCTTTTATTATATACATATGATTATCTATTATGGTTAACATATACCTAATATTATTTTACATTTGAAAAAGCTGAGCGTTTTGATAGTGCAGGTTACCTAATTTTTGAACATCATCAAACACTAGCTCGTAGACTGTTAGTAGTTTTAAATGTGTGTCAAAGTTAAGGGTCCAAATTTGTGATGATTTTGTGATTCTTTGTGATCCCATTTTGTAATTCTTAGACCAAATCTTAGATTTCGAAGAACTGGTCATGATACTGATTTTATTCATATTCGCAGTCAGTGGTACAACCTTGATTTACAGATTTTTATAAACGCATTAATAATCTGTTGTTTTTTAAATAGCCCACCTCAAAGGAATAATGTAAATGTTTTAATTCATACATTTCCTCTGTGAATGTGATCTTAATTATTATAGCTGAACAATAAAAACAAACGTTTAGTGATACCTACATTATAGTTCTTACTAAATAAATCCTTCAATTTAAATAAAATTTTAAAATGAAAAATAAAACATTTAATAATAATTAATTTTATTTATAATTAAATAAAACATTTTATTGTTTGCATTGAAGCTATTTATATATATATATATATTGATTAAAGAAAATATGATTTTTTTCTGTTCATATGATGTCTTTCTAGATTGTTGCTAGTTTGAATCATGTTAATACAACTACTGGACATTTATGTAGAAAGAAATAATGTTAGATGACCTTTTGTTAGCATCTATTCCACTTGCCATCTGTTACTGTAGGATTTTAAAAAAGTGCTGAGTGTCACTAAATCCCAGTGATCTCCTTAGTGAGGTGCGACTTCATAATCAGCCTGCCATATTCAGTCAGACACACACAGAAGCTTTGAGGAGGACTGTGGAAATTAACCAACAAAATTAAAATGGTACTGAAAACTAATTAAGCTGCTGCCAGGCTTTATTTTTCTCTGGCTGTGCAAAGGGAAGACCAACACGCAACTCAGCAAGAGGCCTGTCTGCACAAGTTGAACATTTCATTAAAAAGACATTTTCAAAGGCCTGAATTTTGGAGAGCATTGAACACGATGGCAGAAAGTGACGGAGCTGTGGAGGAGCAGGAGATGGAGACACAGGAGATCAACAGTGACGAGGAAGCCCTTAACCATTTTAGCAAATATAGTGAGGCTCGGGCCGCAGTGCCATGGGAACAACGCACATTCAAAGAAAAGCTGCTCCACCACGCTGATCGGATCTTTCTCATTTTTCTCGCACTCTTCCTACTGGTACACTTTGGAGATTTCATGTATAAGATGTGGTATGTGATCAGCTGGAGGAAAGTCTTGGAGTTTATTCTGGAAACTGTGTCATATCTCTTTACACAAGAGAAGGATGAAGAGCTTATAGAACTGTAGACATTCCTGAAATTCATTCATCGCCCACTGCTTTATACATCAAGATCGAATTGGAACTGAATCCAATTTTAGAAAGCATGTGTTAATTACCAGTACAGCTGTGAAACTTGTTTTATAATGGAAATGGTTGGTGATTGATGTGTTTGCTATTGTGAGGTTTTTGTTCCTGTCAATAAAAAGCTTTGGTCTATTTGATTTTGTTCACTTTTAATGTGGTTGGTTATGTCCTGAGGTGTTTTTTTTTTTTTTTTTTTTTTTTTTTTTTTACTTTAAATACTTACTATTCAATATTTTGGCTATGATATATTGTGTCTACATTACGTTTATCCTGGCCTCTACTAATAAAAGATAGAAAAGAGCTGATGCAATTAATGAAACATTAGAAAGCTTTGTATCAATGTCAGAACTTGAATAGTTCACCCAAATCTTCGTTTATTTACCCTCAAGTTGTTCCAAACCTGTTTGAATTTCTTTCTACTGCTGAACACAAGAAGATATTTTGAAGACTGTCGGAAACCAGACAGTTGATGGACCTTATTGACTTCCATAATATATTTTTTTTCATACTTTATTTTAGTCTTTGGGCTCTGCATTTCACGCCGGTATCTGGGCCCACAGTGGGCTGCCCGCAAGGGCCTCAAAGGATCATGTTTTCTGAGTATGTTCTCATGCATTTTTCAAAATGTCTTCTTTTGTGTTCAGCAGAAGAAAGAAATTCATACAGGTTTTGAGTAAATGATGACAGAATTTTCATTTTGGAATGACTATCCCTTTAATGATGGGTTTAAATGCCGCCAAAAGGATAAAAGCCCAAGTAATACAAATTTTACTACTTTTGTAGTTACATATTGAAACTTTTTAGATTTAGAAGATTTAGCTGTTCATACAATAATTATAAAATCTCTGTGTGTGTTGTTGAATGTGTAAGTTAGCTGTTAGCTACACTGGAGGGGATTTTGATTCGGAAAACAAACCTAAAAAGCACAACTGCTTCATATTTACTGAAGGAAAACTCCTTATAGAGGTAGGGGTAAAACCAACTGCCAAACATTCGCAAATATTACCCTTGCACGCATAGCTTGCACGCCATGAACGAGGAATAAATACTACCCAATCATCGTCTCCCATTTTGACAGGGCGCACCGTGCAGCCAATCAGATCATCGCATACTGCTTCATCCTTCAGCTATTTTCCTCCACTCGTCCTCTCTTTTCCGGAAATTGCAGCGTGACCGACGTTTCGTGTCTTTCGCAGACTTAAAGTATGTTTTTATTGATATTGCACTTATATATTGAACGTATTAAAGTGTGTTTAGGTACGGTCTTTTAAGCTAGTATTCATTATTTAAAATTCACCTGTATTTCCACTCTGTACGCACGTGCGTATCAAGTTATATAGGCATACTCCATTTTGTTTGCTTGCGATCTAATCAGAGTAGAATTGAAATATGGCAGTATGTAATTATAGTTAATAACACAAATAAGACGGGAAGGGTTAAAAAATATTCTGGTTATTTGAATAATGTTTTAAAATACAAGTCCTTAACCCTAAACAAAGCATGTATGACACGGCACGCTTTATAATCCTAGTCAGCTGCTTAGCAGTTCAGGCTGACTAAACATCGGACTTTCAATCTATGCATTACATCATTATACTTTATATACTTTGCTATATTTCGTATATGTTTACTTGAAAAATTAGGGAAATAATTACTATAGAAATTCATTTCATAATTTGTCAGTTAAGTATAATAAATATTTATTTAAACCATGTTTCCTTCGTGAGACCAAAGATTTTTTTAGAGATTTCAGATTTTTGTCTATATGTTAGGAGCTTTATTTAATATAGTTGTTTTTTTTAGTCAAAAATTTCTTGTTTGGTCAAATATTCTTATATGAATCAAAGATTCATATAAACCATGCATCATTTATAATAAATAATAAAATAAATGATACTACAATGTTATTCTATAAAAAAAAGAATTGTGAATTTTGAATTTATGTTGATTTCAATAGATTTTTTGTTATCAATATCATCAAATGCTTCTTAAAATCATATGAATAGAGGATACATAATATACACACATCCATTAATCAGAAGTGTACCCTCTCTTCTAGAATGCGTTACGTGGCCGCTTACCTGTTGGCTGTACTGGGTGGAAACACCAACCCATCCGCCAAAGACATCAAGAACATCCTGGGGAGTGTCGGAATCGAGGCTGATGATGAGCGTCTTAACAAGGTAGATCCTGGATCTAATAAACCTTTTCAAATCGTATATTAGAATTATCATCCTAATACAATTTAAGTGTTTTATAATTAAGCATCTTCATCAACATTCATCATAACATACATTTTTTATTCTCCACTCTTTGCTCTTGTGTATAATCTATTATTATTAGTTAAACAAAAATGTAACTCGGATGTCTCATGTACGGCACCTAAATCACCCAATGAGTCAATCCTCTTGTTTTTTGCTGTTACTCAACAGGTCATCAGTGAACTGAATGGCAAAGACATCAATGAAGTCATGAATGCCGGTAAGGCTGCATTGCTTTTACCGTTTGACCTACACAATATTAAAATCATGTGACACTGACTTTTTTTGTTGTTTCACTTGTATGTTTCCACAGGCCTCTCTAAGTTAGCCTCCGTTCCAGCAGGTGGTGCAGTGGCGGTTTCTGCTGCTGCCACTGGTGGCGCTGGAGCTGCTCCTGCTGCTGGGGAAGCACCTGCAGGTGGGTACCAAGGGGGTAATCCATCGACCGGAAGTTCACAGGAGAGTTGCAATGGCGTATTGTTGTGTTTAATGTAGAAATTCGTTATTCTAATAATGTACATACATTTCTTTGATACTTTACACTATATACAGTGAAATTTATACAAATAAATTACATATATATATATATATATATTCAGAACGTAAAAAAAGAAGCAGGAATGAACTATATACATATCCTATGTTGGATATTAACATCCAATAGCTTAAATCACGGCAGCAGCTTAAGGCATAGCTGTCAACATTAAACATTGAAAATAAGGGAGATTTCCCGGAATCCCTAGCCAAAATAAGGGGATTTTTTTTTATTTTTTTTTTACATTATTAAGAGCATAAGAAACAAATGAAAAAAAACAAAAAAAAATGTATTCCTATGTTATGCTATGACCTCTGTAGTGGACACCAGGACTCGATTGTTTAAAAAATGACATGAAAATATATATAAAATAAAAATAATGGAAATTTTTGACATATGAACATCGGTTTTTTTTGGCCTGGAAACGCTTCCAACACGCTTGAGTGTCGCGTGGAAAATAGGCATCTGGTTCTATTTCTAGCATGCACGCGTTTGCGCGTGTCACGCAGGCAGTGTGCAAGCTCTAATCTGTTAACATGGGAGCCGAAATAAAAACCATAGACAGTAAAAAAAAAACGGCCACGCCACACAGCTGAGACGCACGCAGCCAATGTGTCTCCGGCCAGCGCGCGCAGCGCTGCATCCGAGTATGAATGACGTCAAGCCGAATAGGTCCGAGCTTGTACGTCTCACACAATCAGAGCGTAAAAATACGAGATATTTTACGGGAAAATACTAAAACGGGAAGACAGCGGGAACAGAGATAAAATACGTGAGAAACCCGGAAAAAACAGGAGGGTTGACAGCTATGGCTTAAGGTTGGTAGTCCAAGACATTGTTGTCTATCTGTACTTCTGGGATTCTTCCCACCGGAGCCTCGCTTTCGATTTCAAAATGGCAGCAGCGTGAAATCATTTATAGGGATATTATAGTTAACAAAAAACACAGAAAAACTTTTGGTATTTGAAATAAACTAAACTTGACTATAATAAAATATATAAAAAGGAAACTTATTTTATTTTAGCTATTTTCATATAGTTTAAATTGTACTAAAAACTGAAACTAATGTATATAATGTGTGTATATATATATATATATATACATATTGATTAAAAAGATAAAAGCACAACAAAAAATAGGTCAAATTAAAATGAAAGCAGAAAATGTAGAATTAAAAAAAAAACTAATGCAAAATATTAATAACTTTCTAATACTGTCTCTGTAATACTGACACCAGGCACAACAATTTAACAGCAGGCCAGTTCATTTTTTTGAATGGTGAAGATGATTTTAATGTTATAGGTTCTCTTGAATAAAACTGCTCAGGATATTTTTATTCACCGTCATTGTTTACAGTTTTCCGGATGCATTACATTTAAAATTTTAGAACAATATTCTCTTGCACAATTTTCTAACTCTTTCGTTGGGGTTTTCCGGCATTTTTTTGTTACGGCTCTGATTATATAATACAATTTCTTCCTCATTCCACTTAACTAAAGTTCTGAAGTCGGCTGATTTGCCCCAGTGATAAAATACTTTGTCTGAAGTCAGAAATAACCTGGAAAGTTGACATTTGGATGTTTGCTTTTCAGCGGAAGAGAAAAAGGAAGAAAAGAAGGAAGAATCTGAGGAGTCTGATGAAGACATGGGCTTTGGCCTCTTTGATTAATCTTTCTTTTGTACCTGTAAAAATACAATAAAAAAGGAAAACATTTGTGTTTAAAGATGTTTTATGATTATTTGTCTGCAAAATGGTAAACCGGTTTTGTGGTTACTGATATAAGTTGAATAGGACTTGCTAAAACTTGCATCCAACCTTTTGTGTCTGCAATAACACAGTATTTATCAATCTTGGTATAATGTTAGTTAACGGAAAATACAACTGTTAGACCAGGTCCATTAAATAATAACAACTCTTCTAGTAAATGTTGAAAGTAAGTGGCATTAATTAAGTGAAATCATGAACACTTTACAAAACATGTTTATTCAATATTTAATATTTAAGGTGTAAACCTTCTGCATATGCCCGCATACACATTTACAACATATTTAAAATATGCTTAGAGAGTATACTTTACAAATTTTAGGGATAATGTACAGATTAAAAATACATTTAAATAAATAAAAATAATGAATGCAGTTGTGCAAACATTTGCAGAATACATACAAATCCACATTAAGATTTCTCTAGCTTATGTCATACAGGTTTGTTTTTTAATGTACACTTTGCAAGAGTATATGCTAAAGTTTAGCATGTTCATTTAAAGAGCGAACCACTCATCTCAAAGTTTGGTTTCTTTACAAACATTCACAGTGTTTCTTTCCTCCTAAATTGCACATTAATTTAATAATGTTTTACCGTGTAACCAAACCCAAACTATTTGTGTGTAAAGTGCCTAATTTAAAATCCTTCACATCTTTTTTTGTGTTTCTGCAGTTCAAAGGTATATCCAGTAAAACCCTAACAACTAGGCCCTATTTACCTGGTATTAAGATGCGTTTTGTTTGATCGGATCTCCAGTAGACAAGGGAGACACATTGGTGTTTAAATCCGTCTCTTTTGTCCACTTTAAACCACTTCATTACGTTTACGTCTTCAAACCAAATTTGTGTCTGAACCAAAATGCCGCCTGGCTAGTAAAATGGCGGTCGTTTGTAGCTTTTCTGTTTTTACAGTCTACAGTCCGAACGCGCTTGACCACGAGCACCTACACTACGAAAGCAATCTGGTTGAATGGTCGAAAGTGGACAAGCTCAAGGCGTTTTCAACCCCGTTTAGCGTCGTCCACTTGTGATCCGATCGACCAAATCGTATCTTAAAACCATAAGCTTCTACAAGCTCATGAATTCTTGCTCAGAGTTCTGTGTGTTCCGATCCTCTGCTTTAATGTCAGGGAGATGCGGGTGGCTCTCGCTCATGTGAGTGAAGCGGTCTTGGAGATACTGGTTCCCAAAGCCCATGATGTGGCCAGTGGCCTGGCGGTGTAGATTAGCGACTTGGGCTGTGAAGTCCAGAGTGAAGGCGAACTTCACCAGCTCTGGTGCCACGACGGGCGTGGAGGTTTTCTTATGCGGAACTTCTAACTGAACATATTGATCAGCCATTTGCTGGAAGGATCTATAGGTGATGCCGTCCAGAAAAGTGCTCACGGTGTCGTTCTCTTTCAGCTGGGGGGACAGGAGAGGAGAAAACGTTAGTGGGAAAAAGGAACTGGGAGGACCTCCTTTAAATACCACAATTCATGTTTTGAAACTGAAACATCTGCAAAACTAAAACGAAATGTTTCAGTAGTGTTTAATGATTTCAGAAGGAATGCGATACACTTACCCTGTTATCTATTATGTCCCCTTGATGTTTTATCAGTTCTGTGATTCTCCTGACAAGCTCTTCTTGTGAGACTAGTTGCAGAAATATGATGGACAAATGTAAGACATTTTTATAAAAAGATACTCTGCACTTTGAATATCATTATTCACTGTCCATGTGTCTTTCAAAACCTGTATTCTGTTTTAGATATAAGATTTTTCAAATAATTTTCACCCAGATTTTCCATATATTAACAGGTTACGGTGTTGACATCTGTCAAACTCCAAAGGACAAAAATGTGACAATTTGCAGAATGGAGAATAAGATTTGATAATGCAAGGCAGAAGTTCTTAATTAAATGATAATTAGTATTACTTCAGAAGTCATGGTCTCCACTTCATAGAGTTTTTGTCCTTCATAGTCAATATGAATTGTTGAAAATGTAATATTATTTTTTTTGCATTTCACAAAAAAAAAAAAATTACAGCACATGGTTTTGGAACAACAGAATGAGCAAATAATTATTTAAATGATTAGTGAAACACTTGCGAATTTCTTAAGTGATAACTTGCCATATATTTAACAAATTAAAATTCTGTTAAATTCAGTTGTCCAAACCTGTATGATTTTCTTTGGTGGAACTCAAAAGAAGAATTTTGAAGAATGTTGTTAACCAAACAGTGCTCCAATGGAGACATTTCTGAAAATATCTTCTTTTGTGTTCCACACAAGAAAGTGTGTTTCATCCTTCTTCAGTTGTATTGAGTGATTGGGGAAACTAGCTGAACCCTATAATGGTTTGTGGGTTTCTTTCTACCTAATATTTAACCCATCTCATTTGCATCATTCAAATAGAGTTTATTATAATAACACTCACCCATTACACCGCTCTGGTCTGTTGGCTGAAAAGTGGCATTGTCATCGGCTGGATTGTCTTTCACTTCATGTACAATTTTCTCCAGTTCTTCTGACATTTTCTCATAGTACGAGGTGGTGGGTTCCACCATCTTAACAGCTGTTAAAAACAAAACTATTTAATATTTTATTCCCATATATATTCAAGCTTTAAACTAATGCAAAGAACATACATCATACATTGAGAAAATCTGAGATACATACATTTTGCAGTGGACAGATCTCCACTTCGCCTCCATTTTGACGATCTCCTCTTTTTCAAAGACTTTGAGCGCCGCAGGTTGATGTCACCATCAGCTATAGGCAAACAAGACGTTTGGGGTGTTGAGGGTTGGGAAAGTGGGAGCTGTTCTTCTGTTCTCTGATGATCTGGTTCCTTTTCGATGCTTCCTCTGTAAAACCAGTTCAAGAAAGTCTTCCATACAGTGGGTTTCTTTGTCTTCTTGCCTTCTTTTTCCTTCCTTTCCACGGTGGAAGACTTTGGCGTCTTTGAATGAATATCTCCAACAGTTACTGTACTTGTTTGGGGGGGAGCATCATTGCTTTGCCCTCCTGTCTCCTTGCCCTTATCCAAATTTTTAAACCACTTCTTGGATTTTCCATTGGACTTCTGAGACCCACTAGAGCCATCGTTGCGACGCAGACTGCCTTTAACTTTCCACTTTTTAGATTTCTTCTCAGAAGACATCTCCTTTTTTTCCAGTTGTGGTTCAATGACATACTCATATCTAATGTTCTCATCTGAGATGGAGGCTTGTGACGTCAAGTAAAGAGATGTATGTTTGTGATCGCTTGTCTTCTGCTCTGTGGTGGCGATCCATTTGGATGCTCTGTCCTCCCGTCTCCGAGGACACTGAGATCCATCGTTAAGGCTGAGACTTCTCTTTACATACACCTCAAGCAACCGTTTCTTATCCTTTTCTCCGACTGACAGCAGCTGAGGGGTGTGATTGGAATCAGTTGAAATGGATGCCATGCTGTCCTACTATATATATAAAAAAAAAACAATGCAAATTAACAAAAATTTTTTTTATAAAATATTTAATCAAAATTAACCAACAAAAACGAAAAAAAAGAGAAAAAAACTTTAAGTTAATCGTCCAAATCTAATATGCTATAGGCCGAACAACAGCCTCAGTCACGTTCACTTTTTAAAATCCCCTTTAAGCGTCCCTCAGATCTCAGAATTGCAGCTTTCTCCAATTGTAAAGGTTTATATGATTCTCTCAATATGCGGTTGAGTAAATGAAGACAATTTTTTTTTTGAGCGAACTACCCGTTTAAGAACAGTCGCTATTTAAAATACATTTAAATAGCACGGTAAAGGCACGCGCATATTCAGCTAGCAACGTAAACACAACAAAAGACGATATTACAATGCGAACAGTAGCCTACTGAAATAAATGCATTGAAATGTTAGAATAAACCATTTGACTTACAACTTCTCGCACTCTTTGATGTTTGCCCTATCTCCAGTGGTGACAAACTGTTTGTGTTTTCGGGAAGTTTGAACCTTCGACATGTAGGCACCGTTTAAAGACTCCTTTTTTTAAAAGATCCACCAATCAGCATGCGCTTCTAGCGGGTGACATCACTCAGGTAGACTGACTCGTCAGGTGATGTTTACAGTTTCGACGCAGTCAATTTTTTTCCGACGCACAGGAAAATGGTTTAAAATGAAACCTTACCGATATTATTCCAAGTGGATTTGAAGAGGAGTTATATAGTTGTGCAATAGCCTAATAGCTAATTAATGCAATAAAATAACTATCCCCCCCCCCCAAGTTTGGCTTACATGGATTTATGTCTAAACCGTGACAAAGGAAAAAGATTGCATCATGTCAGTTAGCCATTTACTGTAGGCTTTATTAGATGTCATGTAGCCACAGTAAACTGTTTATGAGGTAGGATATTCCTGAACCATTATGCTTCGGATAAAAGCGCCTGCTAAATGATTTTATCTAAATGTAAATGTAGACATAAGATAAGATATGGAAAATCTGACCCTGGCCTAATAACTTGGTTTCATAATAAAAAATGAAACCAAGAAAAGACAAGTGGTTATGAGAAAATTCAGGAGTTGTAATAAAAATAAATTTGTCTGGGAATGGCATTTCTGATTTTGTGAAAAGTAGCCTACTAATGTTGGGCTACCAGTCATACATTAGGCCTATATACACAACAGTAACAATTTGGTCTTTACTTTGTAAAGACTTGGCTAATTTGACCATTAATTTGACTTAACTCGATACATTATTATGTCACATGTTGTTGCATAAAATGAAAGAGAGGAAAAATCCATTCAGACTCAGTCAAACCAGTTTGTCTTCTGTGCGCTTGTTTACAGGCTTCTTTTCATCAAAAAGGACCTTCTTTTTCATACTTTCACTATTCATATTTTAATTAAAACAGATGTAGCCTAATACATGGTACTAATTGTTCATATTTTGTTCTATTCAGCAGTTTATTGAATTGGAAAATAGCCTACATAAATGCATGGATACATAACTGCAATAACATCGGTTTGCATATTAGGCTACATGTGAAGAGTTCAGATGCAAAAGCCTCTAAATGCCATTTGAAATTTTCTTCTTTAATGATGATTTTCATCAAACTTGTATATTTGAGTTCAGTGATTTCACTTAAATGGCAATGATAATTACCTATTAATTGTTATTTAAGTGAAATTACTGAACTTAAATATACAAGCTTAATAAAAATCATCATTAAAGAAGAAAATTTCAAATGGCATTTAGAGGCTTTTGCATCTGAACTCTTCATGTATGTTCTTACTTTCAAAACATAGGTCTATATTTAGTTAGTTAGGAAGAATACAAGTGTACCAAGCAAGGTGATTTCTTTTACTTTGTATACAGTACCAATAGTGTAGGTGTACATTACAGTGGTATTCAGTAAATGATGACAGATGGACTTTTTTGTAGCACATTATACACTAGGCTACTTCCTGTAGGCTATTGTTTACATATGCCATATCCTGTTAAGATACAGTTTCATTCTGTCTTGATTTATAATTCTGCATATCACGTCTTTTTCCATATGTGTAAGATGAGTTAACTAAGGCATCTCTTGTGTAGCCTATTTTCTTTGTGGTCGACTTACACAACAGTTCAATAGATGGCCACTAGAGGTCGTCTGAAGGACGTGTGGGCAGACCGTGGCTGATTTACTGAAATCATGACAGTTTCCTGGAAGGCATTTGACTTGTCACTTCACTCAGTAAACACCTTTTGTATTAGGCTACTGCACGCACATGCAAAGCCTATCAGTCTGGGAAATAATGCTTACTCATACACATAATTCAGTTTTATTAGAGTAATTGCGAGCGACACAGTAATCAGCAAGCCAGACCTGTCTGTGTGGTTTGTGGGAAATGCAGCATGCAGACAACTTTAAGGAAGTATCTGTTCATATGATTTAGACAGATGGGATTTTTATGCCATAGGCTGAACATGACCTTTGTTGTCAATTTAGCATTCAAGTGGACGTGCAAACAAAGACACACATCTATTCTCTTTTATTTTATTCTATTATTTTAAACGTATGATTTGGAGGTTTTAGTGTCCAGGCAAGGACTTACAAAAGTATTCCCTTAATTCTTCTAACAATGCAGAGCTGGCAGTGCACTGTCCAAACACACATATGTTCTCTGACAGAAGATTAATGTTTGCTGCATATTGCTTCTAAAAATACAAATGCTTTCTAATGTTTTTTTCAGTAACATCATGTTCTTTATGAAGTGATTGAATCTGTTGCTTTGATACGCCTTAATGATGCAAACTTGCGGTCTTTGCGTGTGTGGGTAGCTTGCAAATTATGTGGGTAGGTTAAAATTGTATAAGGGAAAATGTATTTTATATGTTGTGACTGATTCCCATTACTTTTATGTGTGTATTTACCTACCCGTAAGAGAAAGTGTCCATAATATTATTTACATTTTTTATTTTATTTTAATCTGAACTTTACTCCAGTTATTAGACCATCATGTGACTATTTTGAATTATTGAGTGAGACCAAAACATCACATAAATAATGAATGAACTGGGTGTAACAAAGCTGGGTAATAGAGTCAGACGGACAGACGTGAAGCAACAGGGGAAATCCCTCATGGGAGTAACATTCATCAGTTGATTTTACAGCTATTTGAGATAAGAGGAAGGGAGAACAAGCACGTTCAGATGTGAACAGATATCCATGGTAGTATGTTACATATTTTTTTTATTTTTTATTTTTTTTTACACAATATTACAGATAACAGCTTGATAGCCGTATTATCTGAGAAAATTAACTTTATTATATTGTAACACATGACAACATGAAATATTAATATTTTTAAAATTAAAATTAGTATATGTATCTGTGTCAATAAAAATATAGGTTTATAATAATATAATAATATACGTAAATAGCCTAATATACGTTTTTAATAATGTCTAAGTTCATACTTGCTTAAAACAACCACTTTAGCAAAATTATACTATTTTCGGTTAATTTTGATAAAATAATTAATTCAATAAATAGGCTATATACTGTCATTAAATTATTTTCATTTAAAAAAAATACAGAAACAAAATTATCAAAAAAGTAAAGATTCTGAAAGCATTGAACGTGATCCCACAATAATTTAATAAAGCTTTAAAGTTATTTTTTTTTTAAATACCCTATATTTTAATGTGATTAATATTCTATTTTTTAATATGATGGTTTCATTATATATACGGTGATTATATAATTTGATAAATGATATTTCCCATCTGAATCTAACCATGTCATGTCAACAAAAGGAAAAGTCAGCAAGCTTTATTGTCATGTCAATGATTGTTCATTTCACTCCAACAACCTTAATGTAAAAGGTCACATTAAAACCATTAACTATTATATCAAATTAACTTAGCTGATCTCCTCTATCAAATTTCCACGTGCTTCAATGAAAAGTGCTGAGCTGATTTTGTATGCCATCTAGTGGTTTAATTAACCTTCAACCCGGCCTTATAAAATGAAATGCAATTATTTTATTTTATTTTTTACAATTTTTTTTTCATTATATTTTTGATAATTGTTCTTGTGTATGAGTTATTGTAAATGTATAATTTTGCAGGGTAATAAAAGTAGAATGGTCTCAACTTCATTTAGGCTACTTTGCAAGTTAGGCATGTAGCGCATTGCGCATGAGCACATGATGTGTAATACACTACACGCGATTGTGCAGCCAAGAGGTAAGTTAGTTTTTGCAGAATCTGTTCTGATAGAACGCATGTGGGTGTTAAGAGACATTTTATAGGCTACTCTATTGGACATCAATCAAGTAAGCCTACACTCAAAACTATCCGACCTGAGTTTTTGACTGAACAAACAGTGTTGATGTAAACTGTATAATATCATTAATGTCAGACAGTAGGCTATGTATTGAGTGTTTAAAAATTATGTTATGAACCTTCGTACACAAAACTCACTAGTTTTAAAACTGGCATCACTGGAAATAATGATCAATTGCAGTTCCAAAAGAGTCGAATGTTGATTCCGTACACCCTGATTCAGTGAATTCATTCAGTGAATGATTCACCAGACCGAATCAAACAAGAGTATAACGGAGATAACGAAGTATACTGCATCCAAAATAAAAATAGTAGCCTAAGTTATGTGACAAGAAGTATGTCCGAATTCACCATACTCCGAAAAGTAGGCAACTAAACATATATATATATATATATATATATATATATGGGAAATCACAATGGAAGATTTGATATATCTAAATATGTTTCGTGAAAGGTAAAACTTCCGAAATCTCCGTGTAAACAATGCGTGACGTAGACGCACGAGAGATCACTTCCGTGTAACTTTGGAGACGGTTCAGTTCGGTTCAGTTGAACTTCTGATTCAGATCAGTTCGACGGCTAGTAAACAAGAGGTAAAAACTATATAAATACTGTTCGTTTTCTCACACAAACCGCTTGGTTTCGTGTCTTAGGCCATCAGTGTGTACTTACATTTACGAGTCATTAAATCATGTTTAATTTTGACTTCTTTTTGCATGCTCTTTTAGGAGATCCCCATGGCATAGACCTGCATTAAGTGCCTGACAGACAACAACGGTTTGACCAAAAAATGTCAAAATTGAAAATGCTGTGGAAACAAAGACACCTACATCTTGGATGCCCTTGAGGTAAGCTAAAACATATCAAAAATTAATTTCAAAGTGAACTATCCCTTTAAAGTGCGCTCAAAATAGATACTATCCCAGGGAATTGAACCAATGACTTTTGGCACTGCAAGGCACAACCACAAATATCGTCTGGTCTGCATACTAATGTTACCGCAGTAATCAGGATTGCGTGAAAGTACAAATTGAACCACGCTCGGGTTATAGGGGTCAGTTTCTTTCACTTTCTGCCTGTTGTAGATGTAATCAGTCTTACCCAGCCTTAACTTGCTATAGTAACTTGCTCCAGCCACAGAGCTACAGAGACCTGAACGGTCTTAACAGTGCAAGACTAGAACAAAATGGCTGGCCATTAATCGTTTATAACCACGTCTCTCTCCATACACTGCTTGACCTTACCTTGCACCTGACCAGTTAAGTATATATGAGACTGAGGGTATCTCCAGGGTATTAAGGCGATTGCAGCCTTTGTGTGATTTTTCTTTCCTCAATCTCCTAATTGGTCCTATCAGGGGTTATCAGTCTAGTGTCGGGTTTTAGAGATAAAAGCAGATAAAATGAAGGACACATCGTTTAAGGCACCTATAGTCTGGCCTGTGTTGTGACCTGTGTAACTGCTGAGGAGATTTTCATACTCAGTGTTTTTATTGAATATTTAAAATATAATATTTAATTCTAATGGAAATGCATATCATTCAAAAGAAAAAAGGAACAACCCCTATGAGCAAGCCAAGGAGGATGCGTTTCTTTAGTATTTCATTTTGTTTTGCTGAAATTAAATGATAGTTCACCCCAAAAATGTACATTCTGTCATCATTTACTCACCCTCATGTTGTTCTGAACCTGTATGTTTCACTCTTATCTTGAACACAAAAGATAGTTTAAAGAATATTGGTAACCAGACAGTTGAGCCACTGACTTCCATAGTATTATTTTCCTAATATATGGAAGTCAATGGTTACCGTCAACTGTCTAGTTAGTGGTTAAACTACTCTTCAGAATATCTTATTTTTGTGTTCAACAGAAGAAACAAACTCATACAGGTTCAGAACAACATGAGTGTGAGTAAATGATGACAGAATATCTCATTTGTGGGTGAACTTCAACAAGTATGAAACGATACTTTTAATAGCTTTGCTTGGAGACTATCCATTTGCTTATCTCTAAAAACACAGAGGGAACTATAATTTTATGACAAACAAATATTGCGATATCATACTTCAAAAATGATACTACTCAGATGACAGTTATATAATACCTAGGATTCATCTTACATAACCACAAAACATTACCAGCATTCTCTTACATACTATATACATAGTTTGGTATTTGGTTACTTTGCTGTCTCACTGCTCAATATTTTAGTGTCTCAACTGGACTCTTTCCTCCAGACAAGAGTGCTTCTTATGACTCCCTGTCAAATTACTGAAATCAATCATGTCTTGAAATAACCACTATGAAGCTAACAGAAAAAATAGTGAATTTATAGTCATTTAAAGGTTGCTTTAAAATATTAAAAAGTATTTTTTTGCAATAAATGTGTAAATATTTTGACCTGTGCTTTGATTGACAGCTCAACTTAATACATGGATAAATATAAGGCATTTTTACATGCAAAGCAAAATTGGCACCAGGTCAAAAATCTAGGGGTGTCATTTGGGTTTTGCTTAAATTATGACTTTTCTGCAATAAAATAATGCCATTTAGGGTGTTTACATGGCAATTTTCATGTAAGATCATGCATGCAAACATGCTTTGTATTCTTTCAACTTTGTTTTCTTATAGAAAAAGAAAACGCATTGTCCATATACACAGGAGAAATCATAAGAAAAACCTGTTAGGAGAAATACTTTAGCTTGATGGGCAAATATGGGTCTAGTGAACATTAAACTAAATCAACATTTTGATTTGAAGTTGGTAATTTAGAGCAGCCAAATAAATGAAAATGCCCATTACGTCTGCATAGACGGTGAGCTTTGAAACATTAATGGGCACATACACAAACAAAATGCCCTTAAAGATTAATGTGCTCTCATTGTGGGATCTTGCACAGTTTAGTCTCCATCCCCAAAAAACTCCACAGGTCATGCCAACAAATCATGGTCACTCTGTGTGAGTGATCTGGACGTACATTTTTAACCTCTCCAATACTGTATAAAAACCTTATGAACTCTCAAATGCTTGGAGAAAGATTAATACTTCAAAAACACAGATAAGAACATTTTTAGTTTTAATACTCTTTAAAAGTGAAAAAAGTGCTATGATGAATCAAAAACAGGAGAAAATTGTCAGCTTTTTAATATGAAACTTTATTCAGTGTGCCGACGGGAAACCAGATTTAATCAATAATTTTTGTTTTACTAAAGTGGTGCATGTGTAGATGAGGGCACCAATTTTTTCACTCTTTAATGTTACTTTTTGTTTAGTTTTGTATGATAAACATTTAATTTTGTGTTGGGACGACACACATTCATAGAATGAGAATCCTTGTTAAATCACACAAAGATGGAGCCATTAAATTTAATATGTATTTAATAAAAGGCACTCAGAATATCATGAATAAAATATAGTGCTTAAACAATCAAAATATATCATACAGCCATAGCATACATTCACGAGATGCTAAATGCCATAATGATCACATAACACTGGCATTATCACCTTCGCTGGTGGGATAATTGTATAAAATCAAAATAGAACTCTCAGGATTTATTGAACAATCACTTTCAATATTGCTATTCATATTTTGCCATACTATGACATAAAATGCGTGCTTAAGGGAATATACTTACGATTTTTCCATTGACACAATGGAGGGTCGACTTAAATGTCATATTTCTATCTCTAGTCAAAGCATGATCGTTTTATCAAATTCATAGATCTTAGTGTTTCCATGCATCTTTTGCAATCTACAACATCATGATAAAAAGCATTTCAACTTCTATATTGAAATTAAACATTAAGTGTCTCAAAAATGCAATGTTAAGTGCTGGCATAAGTTTAATTTTCAAGCTTCCCTGAAAAGTGCTGTATTGCTTTGCTTTAGTCAGTGCTGAAATGCTACAATCAAAATATGCTTTGGAAACAAATATTTGTCCTCTGTATTTTTTTTTAACTTTGATTTTTACTAAAACATGCAAATGTGCAATACGTTTTATGTGAATAAAGCAGGAAATATTCTATCTCCTGCAATAAAGAAACTTCAAGTTATGGAGCACAGATTTCTATGGGCATAGTTTACTCACTAAAAAAATTAAAACTGTTGTCGTGATGAGCGTAACAGATTTTACTCTTACTCCAAAGACAGATTGAACTATTATGAAAGACAATAATATCTCATAAGTGAAAATCTATTGCAATCATGGGTAAAGACAGACATATGCTCAAAAACTTTGCATAATTATTTTCTCTTTGCTATGAATGTTACTAATATGCTTGTAAAATAATGATTCTTCTTGTTCTGTTCATTAGATAAACCTGTTACGTTCTGTAAGTCCTGATGTTTTAAGTCTGTAGGCTGGATGATACATTCTCGTCAATCTTTCAGCAGTGGCTGATCGTTCATTGGTTTCGTTTTACTATACAGTACATGCAGTGTGCGATCATGCTCTCTGCCTTAATGGCTTGTCAAGTCAGCTTAAATTAGTGTGATGCATGGAAATCCATTCTTAAATAACACTTGTTGCCTCCATCATCAGAACCACCCTAAATTAAAGCTTATTTTATGTGTACTCTGTTTGACCGGCAAGTATTGTTTTTTGAGTGGCTAACCCATATAAATTCATGCTTAAATTCTTGTGCGTTTTTCAGCCATACATATCGATGTGCATAACAAGTAAGGCTGATAGTAGGCTAATGAAGCCTTTAGTTAAAGAAATAAGTGCTGTTTATCCTACCGGAGTGGCTATCATCACTGTTGTCATATACTGTACATTCGGTCAAACAGGAGACAAGATATGATGTGAAATTGTACAAAAACTTTAAGTCAGCATAGAAAGAATTAAAAAAAAAAAACATCTCACCCTAAAGATAGAGCTCTAGTGTCTCGTTCTATGTGTATGCTGACAAAAATAGAAACACCAGAAGAAATGTGGGCCGAGCAGCAAGCAGATGCTGCCACAGTACGGTGGGTCATCCAAATATAACATACTTGCATGCATAAGATACTGTATTTAAATTTAAAACAGGCCTGATTGTGTTTGACAACTACCAGGGCTATTAGAGGAGACATTTGGTGACATTGAAAGATGGATAACAGTTTGGCATACGCTTTTCTCTCACAAGCAGCAGGGACAAAAGGTGATGTCAGTGCAAAGCTCCAAAGGAACGACAACATCAGCAAAAGGTGGTGCTGGGTGGATGCTCAGAGTGCAGATTCATGATTCCTCGGCTTTAATTTGAGGGACTCGGCAACACAGGCACTTAATCGCGATTAATTAAATGCTTGTTTTGACCCCAGTCAAATGCAGCCGTTTGCCTCACAAAATGATGACGAGTACTTTTTAGTCTTCTGTGATTCATATTCCTTTTCCAGTTCAGTGCATTTCAGTTTTTACTACTGTAAAGCCTTAAAGGGATGTTCCTTACAATATTTTTTTGCTTCCTTTTTGTAGATAGTGCTACTGAGGTTTTATAGTCATCCAGCTGTGTTTTAGCAGCCTTTGGCTAAAACAGCATCCTGTTCGAGTTCTCCCATTGAAACAGCACATTCTGCAAAGGTACTGTTGGTATGTGCATAGCATTAGGTATATATGTAGAGCTCTTAAATAAGCAGTTGTCAAGCCATAAAACGGAGAGTTTCTAAGTGCATTGTTGGACAGTCATTATTGCTAGTCAAGTGAAATACGGCAATCCTTATGGAATGCCATTTTTTCCCGTCTGCCAATTCCCATTGCTCTTGTCCAGCGAGTAATTGCTTTCATACTTCTCCTCAGCGCTGGTTTTCTGATTTGCAGCAGCCTCAGCAGCAGCGTCAATCACGATTTTGTCCGCCTGCTCCGTTTCACGATGGTAGAAGTAGTTGAAGTTGGAGACGATGACGGGAACGGGAAGTGCAATGGTCAGCACACCAGCAATGGCACAGAGGATCCCAACCATCTTCCCCCCTAACGTGATGGGGCACATGTCACCGTAGCCGACCGTCGTCATTGTGACTACAGCCCACCAGAATCCTTCCGGGATGCTCACAAACTGAGTATCAGGTTCGTCAACCTCAGCAAAGTAAATGGCACTGGAGAAGAGGATGACGCCAATGAAGAGGAAGAAAATGAGCAAGCCCAGCTCCCTCAAGCTGGCCTTTAGGGTTTGGCCTAGAATCTGCAGGCCCTTGGAATGGCGGGACAGCTTGAAGATCCTGAAGACACGCACCAATCGGATGACGCGTAGCGTGGCCAGAGACATGTTCTGGCCGGCGGTGGGGTCTTCTCCCTCGTGGGTGGCCATCAGTTCTGTTATGACGGTAATGAAGTAGGGTAAAATGGACACAATGTCAATGAAGTTCATGATATTACTGAAAAATTCCTTTTTGCTGGGGCACACCACAAAACGTACTCCAAGCTCAAAACAGAACCAAACGATACAGATGCTCTCCACCACAAAGAAGGGGTCAGTAAAGACAGAGGCCATGGCCTTAGGATTAGGAGTAGGGGACAGGAGCGTGCCGTTGGCGTCACGGGTTAAGTTGACGAACGCAGGTATAAATTCTCGCTCATCACGGAATTCCGGGAGCGTCTCCAGGCAGAAGATACAAATAGATATAGTGATGACAAAAACAGACACTAAGGCTACTGACCTGGCAGCGCTGGAGCTCTCTGGGTACTCAAAGAGCAGCCAAAACTGACGGTGAATCTCACTGGTTGGGAGTTGAGGCTCAGGGTCTTTGGTGAAACCTTCATCTTCCCTGAACTGTTCCATGACCTCATGCCCCAGTCGATAGAACACTATCTCATCCGCAAACACATCCAATGGCACGTTCACTGGCCTCCGAATCTTACCTCCGGACTGATAGAAATACAAGATTCCATCGAAGCTGGGGCGGTTGCGGTCAAAGAAATATTCGTTCTTCATGGGGTCAAAGTAGTCAATCCTTCTTATGGGGTCTCCCAACAAGGTATCTGGGAACTGATTCAAAGTTTTAAGTGTTGTCTCGTACATCATCCCTGAGACGTTGATGACAACTTTTTGTTCGCCGTCTTCGAGTTTCTCCTTTTCCGTGAAATAGTCCTCGCAACAATCCTTGGCTACTTTTCCTAAGAGAGCCTCATTGGGACTGCCCTCGATGCTCATCAGAACCTTCCAGTTGGAGATCAGACTGTTGCAGCTTGAAGTTCCTTTCTTGCTGAGTGTTGGTGGAGAGGCTAGAGAGCGCCTTGGACGTCTTCCTCTCAGAGGTGAGTGTGTGGGTGAATTTATGCCACAGGTCCCCTGGTTTGGTTCCGGGACATCCGAGGTGGGTGAAGTCGGATATCCTGAGTCGCTCGGGTCTCCCAGGTTGATTCCGATGTCGTCCAGATTCTCAAAGTTGACCAGAGGAACCTCCATGGCCTCCCTCCCCTCCCTGGGGCTGAGCTCAGGGTCCTAACCCAGGATGAGATGACAGACAAGCAGCCAAAAGCACAGGCCAGCCAGCCCACTGTGCTCCTCTAAGTGCGAAGAGATCAGGGAGGAGTCAAGCTGATTCTGCAGTAGAGAGCCGAATCCCAAGATACTGTCACCTGATCTGCAGATAAAGACAAAGGGAACAAATCAGTTGTGTTATTGCAAGTAAGGTAAGGTTGCACCTTAGTCAGCCAAAGAAAAGCAAAGCAATCTAAAGTAATTTAAACTACAACAAGACAATGAAAAAGGGAAAAAATTGAGATTTTAGTTTTCCGCGCAATTATTTTAAAGAATAATTCCGGTATTTAACACCTTGACTCTATTTTGTAGTGTGTTTTGAATGAAATAGAGTGGTGGACTTAGAAATTTCGACAATGGGTCCTGTCTCGACTTTTTGACTATTTTAGAATCGCCTGTGACAGCGTTAGAATGGCTGTCTATGGGCATGCACAAACATGTCCTTAAAACAACCCTTAACGTTAATTTTCAAAACTGTGCAACTCACCGAGTGGTTGGTGGTGTTCGTTGATGATTAAAAACAAATATATCGGCGCAGTGTACGCTTTCAATCCGTGTTGTTTGCTATAGTGGAACTATTTTCTCAGATATCTCACAACCGCGTATAAACGTGTATAAAACCGCTCGATATTTGAGTCTGAAGCGTTAGCACACTCCCGACCACTTGATGGCGCAACCAGGACGCTGTACGGAACACAGTGTCTAGCGCACCGTAAAAAAAGTCACAGACACAGTCGAATATGGCAAGACCTATGGGCAAGATGGAGAACCGAGCGAAAAGACTACAACCAAATGTAAACAGACCCCTTTCCGTTTTCCTACCTAGCGCAGTAATATCAACGAGCACTGAGTCCTCCAGCAGACATCAATGCGATTTAAAAAAATGACAAATAAAACACGACAGAAACGGTATTTCGCTACGCTACTTGTTTCGGAACATCAAGGAACACCACCAACCACTCGGTGAGTTGCACAGTTTTGAAAATTAACGTTAAGGGTTGTTTTATGGACATCTTTGTGCATGCCCATAGACAGCCAGTCTAAGGCTGTCACAGGCGATTCTAAAATAGTCAAAAAGTCGAGACAGGACCCATTGTCAAAATTTCGAAGTCCACCATTCTATTTCATTCAAAACAAACTACAAAATAGACTCAAGGTGTTAAATACCGGAATTATCCTTTAAGCAAAGTATAAAATCTTAGCTAACATGATCCACACAACTGCAGTCCATTCAAAATTAAGCGTGCACATTATAGGTTAAAGGATTAAAGATTTTTAAGATTCATATTTTTTTCACCATCTTGTTAAATCAAATCTTTAAATGACCTTCTTTTCGAGGCTTTCAAAACTACCATGAAAGTATAATGAAAGTCTTGAGTACGATATTCCAAATCTTCTGAAGCTTTGTATGAGGAACAGACTGAAATTTAATAGTGACTTTAACAGTCATCGGACCAGACCGATGTGTTAACAAATAATTCAAACTTGTCTTGGAAGCTAAAAAATCAACCAATTAATTGTAAAGATTTAACCCAAAGGAACCATTCCACAGAGATGTGAACGATTCCAACATTTGTTTGCACCAAAAACATGTTGTGATTTTATTGACTTAACTGAAAACAACTATTTATGTGATAATTTTATGACACTTAAGTTATATATTTTTGGATAAACTAATCCTGTAAAGATATACAACTAACTGATAGCATTTTAGTTTCTCCTTAAACCCCTTGAATGTGGCTAAACAAGAAAACTGTCCATATTTTCTACTGCCAAGTGTACTTTAGAGCTGAGCACTGCACTTTTTCGTAATTTATCCCTCATGGACTCCTGTGGCAACACACACACACACACACACACACACTTTAATTCACATCTTATTCTATTAAACAGCAGTTAAAAGACACCAGACGATGAATAAGGGTCTTATCTAGGACCCTTCGAGTCATGACTCGAAAAAAGATTAGTTCATTTTGAAGAAAGAGTTAGAACAGGAGAGTCACGAACGCTCATCACAGAACAGAGCAAGGCGAGCATTTGTGCTTACAAAACTTAACCTTTTATTATTTATTTTTTAAATGACCGATCGTTTCGCTAGATAAGACCCTTATTCATCGTCTGGTGTCGTTTAAACCCCTTTGAAGCTGCACTGAAACTCTTATTTGGACCTTTTATAAGTCCATTATATGGAGAAAATCCTGTAATGTTTTCATCAAAAATCTTAATTTCTTTTCGACTGAAGAAAGAATGACTTTGGCATTTTGGATGACATGGGGGTGAATAAATTATCAGCAAAAGTTTTTACTCCTTTAACATATATCCTTGACATAATGTATGATATAAGGTAATGGTAATCCATTAGTAATTTATCAAATGTTACTACATCCTTCTAAAGGAACTACTAATAGGTTTTTGTAATGTTTTGGATAGTAATGACTCAAGTATTACAACATCTTTTTAAAGTAACTACTAATTATTTGGATCAGTATTCTAAAGTGAAGATCATGGGAACACATCGGAAGGAATTACTATTCAAAATCTCAAAAGCTTACAATGTCTTCAGTCAATATTAGATCGTTATCATGTTTTTTACTTGAATATTGATCCAAATAAATCATGCATTATTCATGTTAATTATAAATCTGTATAGTAATCCACTGGGAGGTATGAAAAATAGTTAATGATTAGCTAACAGTGAACTACCACATTCAACTGAGTGCTATAACTTACTAATTTGTTTGGCTCAAGTGAAATTCTGCAAATTGATAAAATTAGAGGGAGGGTAGAAATATTTTACAGTGTGTTCTGACTAAAGCTTTTGGATTCCAGGACTGTACCTCTCAGGGTCTGTCACCTGCCAGGGACAAAGGTGCAGGTCAAAGGTCTAGTTCAGGCCTCTTATCTAAAGCGTTCTATTTTCCAGAGAGTTTAATAGAGACAGGTAACCATAACCTGAACAGAGGATTTAAACAGCTACCCCTAGTACCACTTGACACCATAGAACCCACAGCCGCGCCAAAGAGAAAAGCTTCTGGCTCCATGACAGCTTGTGTGGCTACACTGGAAGGTAACGCACACCTCTCACCTTCGCTCCGCGTTATATTCCATTGACCCTATTAGTATACAGCAGGGCCTATCTTTTCCATTGTCAGAGGTGTATTGTTGGATGGGTGGGTTACTTGGGCATTCTGTTTCATGTGGCCACATTTTTTAGTGCATTGGCAAGATGCATCTAGTTTATATGGAAACTGCATTTCTAAGGATGAATAACCGCATCATACTGCTTAAATTGTTATATTCTCAGCTATAGTGCCCAATATGTATCTACCTTAAAGGGATAGTTCATCCAAAAATTATTTACTCATTTTTCCCAAAACCTTTATGCATTTCATCCTTATGCATGCAGAACACACAAAAAATGTCAATATAAATAAAAAATACAATATAATATGAATATAAAAACAATATAAATGCCTATACAATGAAAGTTATTGGGGTTCAATGTTTACATACTACCGGTATTCCAATATTTTTCAAAATATATTAAATAACACTTTACAATAAGGTTCATTAGTTAACATTAGTTATATTAACTAATACAACCTAACAATGAGCAATATATTTGTTGCAGTATTTATTAATCTTTGTTATTGTAAGTATTGTTCATGTTAGTTCACAGTGCATTAACTAATGTTAACAAATACATCCTTTAATTTTAAAAACGTATTACTAAATGTTAAAATTAATACTAACTGCTGAAGAAGTATTGTTCATGCTAATTAATGTGGTTAACTTATGAACCTTACTGTAAAGTGTCACCATGTATTCTTTCCTGTTCCATAGAAGAAATAAAAAAGAGTTTGGACCAACTTGAGGGTGATTTAAATGATCACAGAATTTCTATTTTTAAACTATCCCTTTACACACATTCTATTCAAGAAACTTTATTTATTTTGCATCTTAAATGTTTTTAGTATTCTTCTCAGACGGATTTATGTTACACCGTCGTAATATTTTGCGCTGTCACTGTTAACCATATCCCATGCACTCTGCACCTTTTGTTTATTTATTATTTATTGTACTACTTTATATTTATTTATTTCCTACATTATTCAACTGTAACTGTAATGATCTTGTGCAAGCAAAGGAAACTAATCTCATTATACCTGTTCAATGGCAATAAGGAATTCAGTGAGACTTGACTAATAAATATATACACACACACACACACACTATGATATCAGCACAACTGCATATATAGAGATTCACATATATAACGGTACAGCTGTGTAGCGAGAGCAGGTTGGACAAAGGTTACAACTGACAGAAGCTTGTGTCCTTATCCTGCAGTGCCTAGTCCCGGGAAAATGCTGAAGATGTGAAAATGCACCACGGACAGAGATGACATCTATATCCTTCAACTGGGCATGTGTGTGTGCTCGTGTGTGTGTCTAGAAGATTGATCACCAACGTGTGGGAAAGTTTCCCCACATGCATCACAGGTACAAACCCATTGTTTTGTTCTAAGCACGCCTGGGGCTGGTCACTACCATGTGCACATGTAAAGGCACATTACACACGCATTGTACTGTATGTGCTAGATTTTATGCATAATTCTGTGAAAATACGGCGTCAAATATCTGAATCATCACAAATCAGTCTCCGGGTTTGAGTCACAGAAATATAATTAGACAATATGCTATAGCTGTCTTAGTTCTCAAGCTGGACCTATACCTGATTCGTAGCAGCAGAGAAGCTCTAACGTACATTTTCAACTTAAAAGGATAGTTAAACATGTCATCGTTTACTCGCCCTCATGCCGTTCCAAGCTGTAGGTAACACTTTACAATAAGGCTCCATTTGTTAACGTTAGTTAATGTATTAATTAACATGAACTGCAATACATTTGTTACAGCATTTTGTTAATCTTTGTTACTTAATAAAAATCCAGATGTTCATTGTTTGTTAATGATACTTCACAGTGCACTAACTAATGTTTACAAATACAACTTTTGGTTTTA